ACGGGCTCGACTGGTAACCTGAAGGTCCTTGATTCGATTCCCGGTAGAGTCATGTGTATGTGCTACTAAAGACTTTCAAATAAGGACGAAACATCTGCCCAGTACTCCGTGGTTTTCAATAGTTCTCTAACTGAAGTCGATTTGTGATCAAATGTTTCGCGAATTATTCAGTTTATGTAGATTTTATTCTGACTTACAATGAGCATCAGTTACAAATACACCGAAAAGTACAGATCTCTAAGTAGCACAATCTACAAAGACACACTTGTTCAGTAGTCTTTGCTTTCCACTGGATGTCTTATTGATTTCAGTCTTTAATTAAATTTACCTTACTATTAGTTGTTTTTGTATTGGGAGTTCACCACCGCATCGTAATTTGTTGGTATATTTTTCAAGAATTTACGGTTTGATCGCAAAGCTTTCGTTGTTATACTAAACAACATACTCTGCAACTGCTTTCGCTGAATAATGGAGATCATATAACGGAGAAGGATAAGCAATAAGGAACGTTGACAGTCAGTGAATCAACAAAGAAGTCTACAAATACGCAAGGGGAAATGAAAATGGATTGGACCCACATTACGCAAACTACTTAGTGAGATCATGTACCAGCCTCCCCCCAAATGGAACTCGAATTGAAAACGATGAGTTAGACCTCTGAGGGTGACATGAAAGAGATTGTATCTGGAGGAAATGAAAGCTTATGGGAAATCATAAAACCAGCTATAGAGGACTACAGAGAACACAGTGAAATGGCTATGTGGTATGTGCGACTCGAACTGCTGCACATCGGTGCAAAGTTCTATGTTGAAACCAGTCAGTCACTCATTCATGTGCTATTGAAGCCGTATGTGTCACTTGGTCTCCAAAGGACGAATAGTAATAATGATAATCCTTTCACTCAATCTCTGCAAGTTAATTACATTGATTAGCTGGCCATAGTGTTTCCATCAAGGAATAACAAAAGAGTTATATAATCTTTACACGATTGGATTTTGAGATTTTTAGCCTCCAGAAACATGGTGTGATGTAGTATTAACTAATATTGGATATTATCGACAACATTTTGCGAGTGCGTGCCAGTGCATTAAGTACATACTGTTTAACCATGCAACAACAACGACAGCACAGGGAATCCATCTTCAGATTTAGGCAGTCTGGTAGTCCCCATACATCATACATCACCCGTTCTTTAAAAGATATTTTCTTATTCACCTCGTTATTAATCTTATTTATTTACACGTCTTCGCCTTGAAAAAACCACCACCACCATCTGTACCATTCGTATATGTGACTTTCAACATCAACGAATTCGCAATTATTACAGGTCTTGAAACGATATCTCAGATAATCTGCATTCCTCTTTCATTTCATTATTCCGATTACTATATTTATGCTAAACCGAGTTGATGTAAACTGTTGGATTATAATGTTTAAAGTACTCTCTAACTAATTTCTCACTAATTAAAGAATCAATAATTAAAATAAAGTAAATATTTATCGAGTTCACTATGCTTTACTTTCCATGTTAACAACATAAAAGAGTAAGCTAACATGAAATCTTAAACGTGCTCCTCAAAATAGAATTTACATTCTTTCTTTTAATTGTTCAAAAGCCTATCAGAAATAGTTCTATTTTTGAGATTATCTACCTTTTTTTGTTCTTCACCTCACTGAGAGAGAGAGAGAGTAGTATTATGTGTCTCAGTAGTTACAGCAATAACCTGCTAGCGCTTTCTGGTTTTACTAATAAGCTTGTCTCGCATACGTGCACTGATTTATTCTCACACGTTATGAATGTAAAAAGCCTAATTAATTTCAAGATGGTTATTGAATTTTTACTCAGCAACCACTTATTTGGTTGGATAGCCGTTATAGATGAGTATAGAGATGTGAAGCTTATCGGGTTTTAAAACAACGCTGCTGTATTAATAGTTTTTATGCTAAATGAAACTAATTCAACATAATTTTTCTTATTGATCTCAATCTGTAAGCATAGTATTCCTCTCAGTTACTGAAACCTAGAGTTATGAGCCTCGCATATTCTCAGAGTTACATAACACATTCTATCAAGCATACGAATAAGGATTATCAACATGGTACCTAGCATTAATCTTAATTGGAGCTGCCACACTTCATTTTTACGTTTACATCGACTGAGATGGTTAGGGCATGTGTTACGTATGCCTAGTCATCGCCTTCCTCGACGGACAGGCAATGTTAGCTGATATAGGGTCAGGCTGGAAAAGAGCTAGTGACGGTCAAACGAAAACATGGCACCAGTCAATGAAATACACAACAGTTAGTCTAAGCCACGTAGGAAGATGTAGACTTCCTGACTGGTTCGGGTCCTCGGGACGGTAAAAACCAATGGTTGGAAACAATTGGTGACATGGCTCAAAATCGTCCTCAATGGGCTAGTGCAGATGCATCCCCTCCTTGTGACTTATGATTTCCAATGAAACTTTTGTTTTTCGTTGTTACTATTCCTTTGTCTCCCACCTCTGTTTACTGTCTCTAATATGCATTTCTCCTACTTTCTTCTCTTGCTTTGTGTGGTACATGGAGTGTGGCGACTTGAACTTCCGCACATATGCGCAAAGTTCTATGTCGAAAACAGACAGATAGACAAACAGTTTACGTGTAGACTGATATATGTATTAAATGGGAAAATCAGGAGATGAAAATAACACATACAAATCTCCTTTGGTGTTGTCTCTCAACAAAGAAGAAGAAACTAAGATGTCTAATTTAATTTAATTTTAGTTTTTCCCGTCGAGTGATTGGACCGAAGTGCTTGGTCTCAGGTTGACATATCGGCTTCTTGTGCAGATGCTTCGACGATGTCTGGGTATGCATTTAGAATTTAACTGGTGGATGGCGACTAGCATTAGAATCCAGGATGCCAACCTGATGTCAACCTGAGACCGGGCACGGGAAAATCTAATATTCAATTAAATAATTAATGTAACCCGTTGCACAAGATGTGGCTCTCGTGACCCAAGTGGTCGAGTGGATAACGCTTTGGCGTTTGAAATACGGGCACTGGGTTCGAGCCTCAGTGGCAACATCATCACTCACTGGGAAATGCGGGTACATCCAGTGACGAGTCTCAAATAGGACGAAATGCGCATCCTGGATTCCACTGCTAGTCGCCCTCCACCAGTTAAGAAATCTAATGTTGACATCAAGGTAGGTGGGAATGCAACTGCGGTATTATTCATGTATTCTCCTCCTTTTTCTTCATATCGCCTACAGTCTATAACTATAGTCTCTGCTGACCATGTAAACTCCAACCTGACCGCCTACATTGCCGATAATGAGTTCACATGTATTTTTTATCATGTCTTATCTTAGTCACCCTTTTGCGTTCTTCTAGTTAATCAATCTTTTTGCATCTTCATTTTCTGATCAATTTTTTCCAACTGTACAAAGCGCATTACTTTGTCTGTTTGTGTATAAAAATTGACTTGTTTGATATTGGTTAGGTGATTTTTCTGAATAAATAATATACAGCTTAAACTGGGTTTAGGTGTTTATCAACGTATTTCACTTTGGAATACTGAAGCAATATAGACTACAAAGGTATTCTTCTATAAATGCATAATTAAGTAATATGAGGTGGAATATCTGGCGTTACCAAACAGTAGTGACCATTAGATATGTAGTGAATCCACTAAACTGTACTTACTCTAAATATAATGTTTGAAGTCCCTAGATGAAGGTTGCTGTTTCAGTTTTTATTTCTACAATCCTGTATCTCTTGAGACAGTTGTTACTCTTGTTACTTTTTTGGTGACGAAAGTTGTTGGATATGCCTTAGTGTGTTGGAATTCTTAGTATGTGATTGTTTAGCCATATCATATGAAATACTTTCAGTTGGTACGTTGTCATTCGTCGTTGAATATATACCACTTTTCTTTTCAGCATCGTAGTTACTTACCTATCTCGATTGTTTTGTGCATTTCATTGTAACTGTCGTTGTTGTTGTTATTTTTATTATTATTCCCTTGGGTTCCGAGTGGAAAATAGGACTTCAATAACACGTCTCCACTTTCTTCTATTTTCTACCCTCCTCTTCAGTTGGGTCCACGGTTGCCCATAGTCTCTCATCTCCTCCTCGCCACATGAACTCCTCCATGTCACTCTCGCACTGACGACCCACTCGTCGCTTCCCATTGGGATTCCACTCGAACAATGTCCTGCGGCGTAATGCCACTAGACGGCCTCCTTCACGTATGTCCGATCAACCCATCTCCACTTTCTACATATTTGTAGAGCAATCGGCTCTTGGTTGGTTTGTTCCCAGCCAGAGTTTCTCGCTGCTAATTCTTTCTGGTCTGCCATTTGTTCTTCAGTATGAAGCCCGTGGAGGCAGCTGTTGATAATAGTTTGCAACCTGTTGGAAATGCTTTTCGTGACCCGCCAAGTTTCTGACCCGTATAGAAAGACCAATTTCACATTTGTGTTGAATATCTGAATCTTGTTGTTTATGCTTAGTGCAGAAGATTTCCTAACTGGTTTCAGGTTGATGAAGTCGTATCTCACTTTTCCGATTCTGACCAGCTTTGACATCTTCATCCATTACGACTGCCTGTGGTTGAAACGATGCTTCCTGGTGAGATAAGTGAATTAAGTAACCTCCACCAAATCTCTCCCGTTCAGTGAAATTGACCAATTATCAATTTCACTCATGTATATCAACGAAGTAAAATGTTGTATGAGTGATTATGAGCAATAGTTTGTGCTCGAAACGTCATCAGTTAATATTACTGTACAACACTGTGTAATTTATCAAGCTAAAACCTTATCTATAATGGTGTTTTTGTTGTTGTCAGTTATTCATTTTTTCCTAATGAAGTTTTACTACAATTTTCTTTTTACAACATGTATATACACCTATTCCATTTAAAAGGGTTTCCTGAATTATATTCCACTTTTTGTTATCCTATTTTACTTTCTTCCTTTCCATCTCTCTAGTTGAATTTCTCAGTGATTTAATGGATGAATGTAACCAGCTACTCTCTACCAATGTTCTATCGGATTCAACGTTTTCAGAATATTTACAAGCAGACTGCAAATCGTTAACGTGTACGTTGATTTATATTAATTATGCAAGCCTTTTTTGTATGACAGTATTTTAATATACACACAGGTTTATTATAGTGCTAATTGGTATTTCTTACTTTGACTATTTTGTATATTTTGATTGTTCCCATGTTCAATAAGTTTGTTGCATTGTGTACTCTCAAGGTACATCTTATTTTAGTTATTAGAAAATAATAGGGTGATAGTGAACACTATTACTCATCAAAGAAGGCCAGTATGCAAACGTATCTAGAATTTTAGATTTTTATTTCAACCAGGTGTTTGTGATTGTTTGGACTAAAAAAAAGTCAATGCAAATGCGGGATGAAAAACACAGGATTACAAGTGGTTAGAAGTGTTTTATATTGTGAATACAAAGCAAAGTTGGCTAAAAACACGTGTAACAAATAATTCGTTTGCATTATTTGATAAGATTCACATTGTAACTGTTTATCCTTCGATAGATATATGATCTGCTTTACTATCGTATAAGGCCTTATTGTATTTCCTCGGTATCATCTTATGCTGATTTTATGAACTTTAAGGTTACCAAATAGCAGTTCTAGATATAATTCTTATTTTGCTTAATTTGAAACGTCTTTTTTAATAGTGTACATTTTCTGATCCTAAAGTTTACTGCTAACTTGTAAACATTATTAACATGTGTGCAATCAAAAATATCCAATACAGTCCTATAGGAGGTTAATCGCGAGCCTGAATAACTCAGTGGTAACGTCTATGACTGCAGCACTGGGTGACGCAGGTTCGAATCTCAGAAGGGACATGAGTTCCTTCAAGGTTACAGATGCGCCTTGTGGATGAGTGCCAACTAGCACGAAACCTAGGTCCAAGACTTCCTGTGGCCGATTACCTCCAATCATCTAATACCAACATGTTTAAGTGTTATCTAATTTAGGACTGTATCTACTTAATACAGTTTTGCTGCACACGCAGACATGGGACTTTTATAATGCCTAATCGAATGGAGTTGGTTTTTTAGTTATAGTATTCATAAAAATTTGGTGATTTCATTTTTAGAAAGAAAAGTGTTCTTCATGATATATCTCTAAAATCATCATTTATTATGACGTAACTTGTGCGATTGAAATCACTTTTCAATTAACTGAAGATCGAGTGTTTTAAGCAACATTTAATAATTTCAGTGGAATGACACTCCTCCATCAGGAGAAGGGGCAATACTGTTAATCGTAAATATTTTATATGTGAACTCACTATGTGTCTTTATTCAAGTAATTTAAATTTATCAATTCCTATATTTTTATTTAGAAGTATTCCTTGCTTTACAATAGTTCAGGGCATACTAAATTATTGAATACTGTAAATCTTAAGAATTATTCCTTCTTAACGAATGTTCGTCCTAATTACGCTAAGAATACTATTCATATTACTAATCCTAATAAAACTATCTCTTGAATTTTTAAAAAAAAACAATAGCCGCAGTCAGTCAATTGTTGCCTGAAATTGATAATCTTCTAAAATTGTGCCAATTCAGAGGGGAACAAGAGATTTCATCAAAGAGTTCACCTCAGTCAAAACAAGTGCATGACACCACCACCTTTCCGAAAGATGGAAGCGATGATATTGAAAACACTGAATTGGTGCGTACACTACGTGAACAGTTGTCAACTGCTCATCAAATGTTAACTGAACAGCTGCCTGTAGATACAAAGAATGGTAAAAGATTTCTTTGCTTTTAATATATTCCTCATTGTTATTGTTATATAAACTTATTATGTAGTATTTTAATTTAACGTGATTACTGCGTTTATGCAGTGGCCTTTAAGATGGTCCTAGGTCCTAGGTAAATAGCACACTATTACAGTTCATTATTTGCTAGTACACAGTGTCACTAACAATAATGTTTACCCTTATTATATGTAAAAAATTTGGGAGCTTTGGTAGCATGTAATTTCATATTATTTTGTTTATTGGATATATCATTCAGTCAAATAGTATCATTCACACAAAATAGTTTGGAAAAGTCTAAATGGTAATTCATTATGTGGAAATTTTTATGACAATAAATAGAAATGGAATATTCTAGATGCGATGAATATATATACATAGTGATTGTAAACTGGTATCAATTCTCGACGCAACCATTAGTGACATGCCACTTGACTATCCGCCCTAACAACTCACGCCATGTTAGATCACTACAGTTGTAACAACAGAAGACAAGGGCCAGGCAACAGATCAGTTTTATTACGAAAACCAACAGGTATTTATATGTATTTTACGTACATTAATAAGGCTCTGCCCGCAGAAAGAAGGCGGTCTTCTGATTGGTTGATTGCAAACAAAACGCAGTCTTCTGCTTTCTCGTTTTCGATATTTCTCGGAAATGCGAGCCACTTGTCTGCGAATCATATTTGTCCACGTCTAGGTCAGCTGTGATCGGTTGTTGAATCAGCCTAGATTAATTTCTACCAATCAGCGTAGATCAATGTCTACCAATTGGCTAGCAGCTTGCTCACACCACACAGTGAGTGATACAGTGTTAATAAGGCAGATAGCATTTTGAGCACAACTTATTGTTCATAATGATATCAAACTTCTGCAGGTTACTCATAGTCAAAATTTATATTCCTACAATATGAAAACAAGGTTTGATGTGATAGTACTATTGAACAATGATAACTTGTATCAAAAATATAAAATTGCCTATAAATTCCAAGCGTCGGGGGCACAGCGGCAGAATGCTAACCAATCACGCATGACGTTCAGGGTTCGGTCCGTGGCCGATGCACTCCTTTACCTCGGTAAGCCAGTAATAAGACTGGTAAAGAGGGGAGATTAGGCATGACGCTAGCAACGCCATCCCGTAAAAAATAAAACACCTCTGCTACAGAAACTCCAAAGCCCTAGCTTGCAGCCCTATGTTCCACTGGGGACGTAAAACAAAATAATAATAATAGGAAAATATGCATTCCAGAAGTTTCTCAGGTATATAGTACGAACCGTCTGACATGTCTGATTGAAAAAGCGAAATAGTAAACTATCTTAGAATTAAAAAGAATATTCCCAATATGGTGGATGGGATCAAAACTCTGTCAGTGAGAATCAAATAGAACAAAGCACAATTCCCTCAGACAGTTCACTTACAAGCTGTCACTCCAAGGCTTAACCTTAAATTCATTTCAACAAAATATGCAATAGTAAAATAACGAATTATTATCAACAGTCCACCATTACATAATAAGTATCAAGTCAAAAAGAGATACGCAATTGTTTGAATGATAATATCATAGGTCAGGAAGAAGCATATAATTACAAAATTAGCTGAAATATTCAAATAAGTATGAACTACAGTAAATCGACTGTTCATGGAGGGATTTTCAGATCACTTAAAGTATTGTAAGAGCGTCATAATAGATGCTTTTTTCATATTTATCACACAAGCTTCTTTTTAAACATCTCTCATTGTCGTTATGTATCCCCAAACTTGTAGCTCTTCTTGAAACAAGTCAAATTGTCGAAACAGAACGTATTCAACTGCAAGCTGAAATGGATCGTAGAATGTTAGAGTTTGAAAGAAATCATAATGCATCAATAATTGAATTGGAAGCAAATCGACGTGATTTAGTTAAACAACTTGAAGAAATGGAAGTATATAATCGTGAATTAAAAAATGAAATCTTTTCAGTTCAACAAAAACTTCAAGCTAAAGTAATTTATTTGTTTATTTATTTATTTATATAATGTACCTATTTGTTTTGAATCCTTTCAATTTGAACTGGGTAGTTTGAAGAAAAGAAACAGCGGTTGTTTTTTTAAATTTTTACCTAATTCGATTCATAATTTCTCTTGGTATTTGTAATTCATATCTGCTAAGATTGTATTTAGATATTTCGTAAAAGGGTGAAGATAACTAAGTTGACAGAATATTTAAAACAAGAGAATACAAAGTGATTAGAAATAGGTGTACAACATTTAGCGAAAGAATGAACTCTATCATTTCCTTCTGCTTTTGATGTCGGCTTTAAGACGTAATAATTGGAGTCGTTAACTGATATGCAAAAAGCATTGGATAGGACGGTAACACAATAGTTACCCTAGTTATTGTTTTACATCATTTAGGTGGGATTACTGAATGTTAGCGACTCATGTATACCTGAAAGCCCTTATCCTTGTGAGATTGCAGTGTAACTGAACACATGTTAATCCACTTACTCATTCAGAACAGTATGCAGCGACAAATTCTGGCTGACCTCGGCGTCTGGCTAAGGCCAATATTAGTCTGCATGGAGTACAATTCACTTCTGATGTTACATGCGATGAAAATACTGAGAAAATTATGAAGATATATCACTTATTTTAGACTAATAACCAATTTGGATATAAATCAAGAGTAAGATTGGATGCCATACACAGCAAATTTATATGGGGAAATGACTTCAAGATTTATTTTTTTCCAAGTATTTGTAATCCATCCAACACATACTTGGGATTTTTTTCTGTTAATGCGAGGACAATATTTCTATATTAATGTGCTCCATTGAATGACTAGTTAGCAGATTGTTCCCACATACTATAAAGCCAAAAAGGACAGCAACCATGTAAATTCACCATAATTTAAATAATACTTACCCACGCCTGTAAAATTGGTGTGTCCTACATAGATAGAACGATTCTCATTTGACTAACCTACGTTTTAATTTCCTACGGTTTTATGCATTTCAATCAAAGTTCACTCTTAAAAAGTTCCCCTTTATGCTCTATTCAGTAAAAACGTAGTTGTCACAGATGAAAAGTAATTTTATCTACTGAAATTCTTGCGACTAATGCTGCAGTTATCTGCTCTGAATGTTCATGTACAACCAGTTTAGGTAACTGATGCATTCTCAAAGTTCAGTGACATCCATCTATCTGAACACTATTCATAATATGTATTTTCACCTGCATATATTTAGATTTTTAAATAGTTTATTTGATAAGCTACCAGTTCTATTTGATTCGAAAATAAGGTAATCATTTGTAGCTACTATTTTTTGGGTTACACCTTATCCTTCAGATTGACAATATCGTAATTATCTCATATTTGTGCCATATTTGCTTTTCAACCAAATTTCCAACCATCTTTTTTATTTATGTAGGAAAGATTTTTGAATGAACAAACAGAAGAAAGAGAACTAGAACGAGAAGAATTCCGTATTGAATTGAATCGTCTTAAGAATGAACTGGACGCAAAAAAGTTAGTAACATTATTATAAGTGATAGCTTGATTTTGCATATCTTTATATCCTGTTTAAATTGCTTCTTCTCTAAAGTGTGTGCATGTCCTGAAAGTGTATGGTATTCAAATATCTAGTTCGTGTAGAATCCGATTAACTGCAAGGTTGATTTTGTTACTAACTAAAATCAGCTAGGAGCCGTCGACAACTTAGAAGCAGTATCTTCCCACTTCGAGACTTCTGATTGGTGTACACCGAGGTTTTATTGGGAAGTCGTGATGCATTAGATCCACAAAGCCTGCTATGAGGATACCTACTTGTAGGCAATGTTTGAACGCATCAACAACGTGTTAGAATTTGAAAGTGTAACGACATTTCTGAATTGCAAGGTATTATTATTATTTCCTTTAGTTCCTAGAGGAACATAGGGCTTCAGCGGTGCGTCTCCATTGCGTTCGGTTCTCTGCTAGAGTTTTCACCTGGCTCCAGGTCTGCCCACATGCTTTCATCTCCTCTTCACATGATCTCCTCCAGGTCACCCTTGGACGACCAACACGTCGCTTCCCTTTCGGGTTCCACTCGAGGGCTTGTCTAGTGATGTCACTTGATGGTTGGTTTTCTCAGAGTATGGCCAGCCAATCCATCTCCATTTCTTCCTGCCTATTTGTTTCACAATCGGTTCCTGGTTGGTTCGCTCCCAGAGATCTTTGTTGCTGATCCTTTCCGGCCATCTGATCTTGAGTATTGAGCGAAGACATCTGTTAATGAAGGTTTGTAGCTTGTTTGAGGTGCTTTTTGTGACACGCCAAGTCTCTGATCCGTATAGTAGTACTGACTTCACATTGGAGTTGAAAATCCCGATTTTATTTTTGACGCTGAATGGTGTTGACCTCCACACAGACTTGAGAGTAATGAAAGCTTGCCTTGCTTTCCCGATCCTTGCTTTGATATCCTCGTCAGTTCCGCCTGTAGTTGAAACAATGCTTCCCAGGTAGGTAAAGGAGGTAGTTTCTTTCAGGTTCTTTGCATTTATGCTGATTGCTGTCTGTTGTTGTCGTTGTTGGTGTTGGCCAGGGATCTTCATCACCTCCCTTTTCTCTATGTTCACCTGGAGTCCTATCTTTGATGCTTCTTCTGCCAACTTGTTACTTTTCACTTGCATATCTTCCAGTTTGTGGGAAATCAGGCATATATCATCGGCGAAGTCCAGATCCTCCAAGTTCTTTGTGTGGGTCCATTTTATGCCTGTTTCCTCATTGCCCGCTGTTTGTCGCATTATCCAATCTACCGCAATCAGGAAAATCATTGGCGATAGTAGGCAACCCTGTCTTACTCCTGTCTTCACTTCGAAGGATTCCGTGAGCTTCCCGTTGTGGATTACTTGGCATGCAGCGTTGTCATACAACTGTTGGATGAGATGTATAATTGTCGGCGGCACCCCGTAGTAGCGAAGTAGTTGCCAAATCACCTCTGGATCGACGCTGTCGAAGGCCTTTTCAAAGTCGATGAAGTTGAGATAGAGAGGTGACTGCCATTCCAAACTTTGTTCAATGATGATCCGTAGTGTGGCGATTTGATCAATACATGACTTGTTTCTCCTGAATCCAGCTTGTTCTGGTCGAAGTTTTTCATCCAGGGCTTGTTTGATCCTTTCCAGGATGATGCGGCTTAGTATTTTGCTTGGGAGAATTGTAAGGTATTCACTTATTATTTTGACAGGCCCATTTCTGTGCTTTGGCTCAGTCTAGTAGGTGTAAGCATTATTGAAAGGTCTTCTTGAATGAAACAAGCGTCCATGACTACTCGATTTCCAAGGGTTTTCCAGATCATTTTATTCCTTAATAAGATCCTTTATGTTTTATCAAATATATAAATTTCCACTAGTTTTGTCATGGTCCTCAAACCGAGTAGGGCACTGAGATATAAGTTGTACTTTGTCAGTTTAATACATAAGTGAAAACCGGTGTTTGTAGTATGAGTGTTAGTATTGTAGAAGAAGGGCAGATCTAACTAACCTTTGCAAAAGAAACTCATTATTTCATTTTTTCTATGTTCTGGGTCAGAAGCGCCTAAATTTTTTATACTATCGATTTCAGTTCCATTGTAAAGTCGGAGTTACCGTCTCGCGCTAATCTTTACTCCATGGTTCATTTTTTGTGTTTCTTTTTGCATTATTTTCAAGTTTACTGTGTATTCACCCTTATTATCACGTTGTCTTATTCTAGATTGACAATGTCTGGTTTATTTTTGTATAACTGATTCAGTGTGTGATTTCAGCTAGTAGGACTACATTCTATGTGTATTATTCGTCAGAAGTATCATTAAATTGGACGCTTACATGATTCAACTGAGAGATGGTTAATGCCTTTGCTTAGTTGAATAATATACTATGTGATTTATTAGTGTTATTCCTTTCCTTTTTTCTATAGATCTCAGCTTATGTCGTACAAATTAATGGAAGCAGATGATACTGATTCGTGTACAACACAATTAGGTATGAAAGAGACAGCCCAGACTAACTGTATTCCAAATTGGATATCTAATATGAAACTAGAGAATCTAGTTCAAAGTGAATCGGTTAAACCAAGTATTCAATCATTTGTAAACTCAAAGTCATGGAATACACAATGGAATAAATCTCATGATTCTGATGATGACAGTTCAACTGGAAACGTAAATACTAGTGCATCGAAAGATCAGTATAGATATTCAAGTACTGAGAATAATTGGCAACCTTATACTATCCCACCAATGATTAATAACAGTAGTTTTCTTGATTCACGAGAAAATACACCAGATAATAATTATAGTATACGAAGTTATCCAGACGATGTGAATAAAAAACAAACAACATTAGTCGACGATTCAAATACCTATATACAGCATGAATTGAACTTATGCGATGCTTCCACACAGGTTCGTTTTAGCAGTTTTTTTCCGCCGTCTTATTGATGTATACTATTCTAGTATTCAAAATATTAGAATATTTATAGGGTTACCACTTTGTTAAACTGTTATTCCAAATGAAAGCTTTTACGGTCTGTTTGTCGCCTTCTGCCCTCTTCGTACTCTTTCCAAGGCATATATCGATAACCCCACTGTGTGAAGTTGGTATCTACTAAAACATACTACAGTGTCAGTGAACTAAAAAGCAAAATGGAATTTCGACTTCTTCATTAAATGTAACATGTCAAAGTACTTTTGTAATATTCTCAGGTGAGATGATAGCAAAACAGACTTACGAGGTTATAAACCTCAAGTGACCAAGCAGTGATAGAACTGAAATGGTAGGATAGATCTACAATGAAATTGAGTTTAGAGTTTAGTTTCACAAAAGCCTCATATTGGAAAAAAAGTACTTCCATTACAAATAAAATTGAAAGAAGTAACTGCGAAATCCTTATTTTGTGCTAGCTAATTCCATTAATGGTTCGGGTTGGGGTAGAATTCCCACTAAATATGCGGGAGACCTGGGTTCGATCCCATGTCCGACGAACTCCCATCAGTAGTAAGCCTACAAAAGAGGAAAGATTGACCGTGAGGTTGGCAACCTTACTGCGTAAATACAACACCACCATCTACACTGAAATTTGAAAGCTTTAGGCCATATGTCCCACTCGGAACACAGGGTATGAAAACAGTTCATTCGATTCACGGTCTCATGCTTCCCTGTCTTTTGTCTTTGACTATTTCTACTTTATGAAGAATAAAAATAATACGCTTTGGCAACATCTTTTACCGATTAAGACAAACCAAGAGGTGTAATTCGAAGGAAAATTTATCATGGGAGAGGTCATTTTTCGGTAGTTCAAAGTTGAAAAAGACTACCTAGTAGTACATAAGCCTGAGGCCACTGTACCGACCATAAGTATTTTAGATAACTCAATGAATGATAACAAAACTATTCTCTGCGACATCGTTGAATTCTTTGATGTTAAACGAAATCATCCGTTCTAATTTTACTTATTCAAGGATTCCAATTTTTTTCTAGTAGGGTACTGAATCAGTTTTCGCTTTTATGTTACATAGTTTCTTTATCAAAGATTATGATTTATTACTTTTTATGCAGATATCCTTTGAGGATGAAGAAACAGGATTTAAATATCAGTTTGCAAAGCAAAATACAAATTTCACTAATCAATCCTCTGTGGCTATTCAAACAGATATATGTCCTGCAGTCACTGTTGATGCAGCTAGTGAGACTTGTGTAAGCGACATTCATTATTATGTAATATATATATATATATATGTATATATATATATATATATATGGACAGTAGAATGTGATGTTAAGCTGAACCCCCATGGCGTAGTTTGTTTAACTATATAAATAAAACTTCGATACGACTTTTCACAATATATATTTCAATAACCTAACGGCATGGTATAGTATTCAGCTTAACACTATGGTCTACTCTGTTTTTTATGCATTACTCTGTGCAAAATATATTATGATCACAGGATCATCACATGAATGGACACTTGACAGTTTTCTGGCAGATTTACTCTAACCTAAACAGGTAGTTCTAAGATGACTTGTACAATAATACTGGAACGCATATTGTGGCGTGTGCTACTGATAAGATTTATCAGTAATATATAAGGGAACGTTAATCAGCATAAAAATATCAAATAGCAAGGAGATAGATTTGACGTCAGAGAAAGCAAATGATTCAGCGTAGTGGAGATACATGGGAGACGTGAAAAGAACAAGCAAACACAATATTTAAGAAGACCAGAAGTAGCATTGAAGATAAGAGGTACATAATTTGGCTATATACAGATACCAAATTGCAAATTAACACTTCTTCACCACGTCTTTCGTCTTCTACCGTTACAGTATTCCAAACGAGCGAATGGGCGATAATGTATTTGCAGATAGAAAAAGTATCGCGGAAACTAATTAGACAGCGATGTGGGTCGAGTAGTGGGCATCTATCAACGTGATAAAATCTGACTCACTGATAGAATGGTGAATATTTGTACAAATTAAATGCTGACTGCCCGACTATCTTGCTAGCCTGTAGTTACACATGATAAAAAATGACAGTGATAAGAGTCATTGTAAACAGATATTACTGTGTATGTTCGCGGTAACAGTATCTTTTGAGTATAACAAAGACTGAAGTAGATTTATTGGTGATTTTTATGGATTCTAACTGAAATCTATCTTTTAGGGTTCTGAGTGCCATTTAGTCTCATTTACTTAAACGTCTATATGTGTGGCTCATTGCTCAATGAATAAATACGTGATCAATTTCTGATTTGCGTACTATTCACACCTGGGGGGGGGGGGGTATTAGTTGTTTTATTCATTGCAAGCTGCATAAAAGTTTGCTTAAGTGGCTAATAAAGAATGTCTTCTCAATCGACAAATGTTTAAAACAAAATATGTTACATTTTCAATACCTCTTCATAAAAATTATAACTTTTAGAATTCATGTGAAGAACTGGATCTCATTCAGTCGGATTCTGACGGTACAACTACAAATAACCGATATACCACTCGTAATGCTAACCAACCGACACGAACTACAACTACCACACGAATTCGTACGTTTAATACAACTGCAGCTGCTGCTGTTCTTAGCCATGTTACAGTTAGTGAAGAAGAATCAGTGGTAACTGTTGTAGACGAACCAGAATTGTCTGAACCTTCACCTGTCTTCGATAATCAGCAGAACTCCCTTCAAGATCAAATTGAAAAGTATAAACTAGAAATCGACAACTTGAGGAGACAACTTGAAGCGCATAGAAAGTTACAACAGAATGAATTATTGAGTGTAAGTTATTTGGTCTTTTTCTCTTCTCTAAATGCATATCTAGATTTTTAGTTTCCTTGTTTAACTTGTGCTTTCAATAAGGTTAAGTGGAGGGACTCTCGGTGAAGTAGTTCAATTTCTTTACAATCTGAAAACTGAGCATTTCGACCCCTTTTTAGGACGCTTTCACTACGAGAAACACATTAATTTCACAGACATGATGCTACATACAAGGATCGTTTTTCCATGGAATAGAAGCGGTGTTATTTTTACGTGGTGGTGGTGGTGGTGGGTTACTAACCTCACGCCCAACCTTCTCTCTTTCACGGACTTGCTGTTGTGTAGGGAGGAGGTTGGGAAACACAATGGTCGGAAATCGAACCTGAGACAACCTCCCACCTGACTGGTGAGCATTCTACCATTTTAAATGTGCGAATCACTTACAAAACAACTTAGAATGTAAAATCAAAATATCTTAACAACTTAGTACTGCCAAACTTTCTTTGCTTTCTTGTGTCTTACAAGAATTCGACTAATAGTTTTACTATTCTTAATCACCAGTGCAAAGTCTAACTTTCACTGTGGCCTTGAAGTGTAACTCTTCAGATCACATGTTTAAAGTTCAAGCATAATGAAGTCTCATGGTTAGATTTTTATTTGTATATTATAGAAACATTTATAAGAAATGAATGAAATTCCTATCAGAGTAATATCGATCAATCTGTTATTGTCGTTGTTTTTCTTAACAATTATATTGTAGATTGAACAACCAAAACAGGACCGTGATACACAGACTCTTGTACTATGTCGAGATAACTGTATGCAAACAGTAAAATTAAGCGGTTCATTCACTCAGTACGAAAGTTTATCACTTCAGAAAAAGGTTAGTTTCAACTTGATGTTTGTTCATTATTACTGCATGCATGAACCGGCTACTTTATTTTTCCCTTTTTGCGTTTAATTAGGGGATACGTCATCATATTCAGAATGCTTTTGATTTGATTTCTCAATAGTAAAGACATATATATATATATATATATGTCATATGTGCGTGGTTGGCACAGCGGTTAGGACTCGCCGACAATGCACATGGCCCGGAGTTCGATCCCCTGCCGACGCACACCTGATATCTATGGTTGGCCTGCAAAATTTGGGCTATCGATATCACATGCTGAAAATTCCATACTTGTACCAAAAATACGGTGTGGAATCAAGCTATAATAAAAAAAACCAACATGTATATATATAGGGTGTAAGCAGTGTCAAGCTTCTCAGTGGTGATAGCTCAAATAGTTCACTGGTGACGTCTCTGACTGCCGTATTGGGTTGCGCGAGTTCGGATCCCGGAAGGGACACCAGTCCCTTGAAGTTTGCTGATGAGCCTTTGCTGACAAGTCCTAACAGGTGCTAAATCTCTCTCTCTCTCTCTATATATATATATATATATAAGCTGTCATATTCACGTAGTCCTTAATGGTCACTAGCCTATCTGTTTCGTCATACCTATTAACAGGTTATGCATGTTTTTGTTACTATCAATTGTCTCAATTAGTCAGTGATTTTTCTTCTTGTTCTTTATTATAATTACTTTCTATAGCACCACCGATCTTTGCCAACCTTGCATTCACCATCCTTTTCATCCAATGCTGAAGATACAGGCGTAGAAATGTCTCAGGGTCTTGTAGACTCAGCAAGTGTAGAATCTGTTTCACTGCCAACAAAGAAATCTCCAATTGTTCAGGACCTGATTTCTTTAAGGAGTGATCGCTGTTCTTCACCTGAAGATGAAAATCTACAAACTGTGATAGGCTCGCCGATGTCTGATAAAGACGATGATATGGAAGTAGAAATTCCGGAGATAATATTATCATCAAATCAGGAATCAGTAAATCCATCTCCAAATGCTGTACAGGATGCCAACCATGATACTCTTGATTCTGTAGCACCTGGAACACTAAATCCAGACAGTGAGAATACCGATGATGCAGCATCCATGGTAATTATATTAATATATATTGTTGTAATTTTCACTGAGTAACTGTTTTCATCAGCATTTCGATGCAGAATATTACTTGTCTGATTTGATGGTGGTGGTGATAACTGTCAAATCCAGGAAATGGGTTGTGTTTATGCTTCTCTACAGGAAGCCAATACGCCAAACAGAGCAGGGTAATACTGCCCAGCACAGCCAATCAACGAGAAATTGGAAATAGTTCCTCATCTCATTTCACGAAAGATAAACGCATATAAAAGGATTGTTTTGTTACCAAGATGACTAGGTAGGGTCAAGTGGATAACTACGCTTGTGTCTTGCATGTTTGTCTCAGAAACGCAATATACATTCAGAGTCTGAGATACCAGAGGTGTTTTTCTAGTCAGGTCTTTTCTCGTTTTATCATCAGGTCCGGACGATAAGGGAAATGAGAACGGTTTTATAGTCAGCTTAGCTGTAGACTTTGTTTGGTATTATTTGCACAGAGAATTTACTTTTGTCTCCTGGTCGATTTTTCAACCTCTTCTTCTCAGAGTAAGGAGACAGCATCGTTGCCTTACTGATTGTTTTATTGAAATGCTTTACTAGTGTTTTCCACTATCCACTAACCGTATGAGTATAATAGAGGCAGTAAGCAACTTACCTTATGATGGTAATTGCTTTTATTCTAAATGCTCTCCTACACGCCTTTCTGTCACGGTGAGACTTACGGAGACATTCTTTCAAGCAGATATAGCTCTCCGGGTTATTGGAATATATCGTGTGAAGATTTAAGATATATATATTGCAACGTAGTCTCTGTAAACACGAGAATTATTTATTCATCGTCTTTACTGATGTCTCTTTCCAAATAGGTTGTTAATGAGTGCAAGGAAAATATTCCATCTTTGATGATTTCCAAGACAGTAGCTCAGCTTTTCAATCGTTAGAATTCGTCTAGTTTCTTGTATCTGATTGTCAATAATCTTGATAATTTGTACTTCATATAGAGAGAACAAATAGCTCTTCTTATTATTTCAGCAGATTGTAAAAACGAGTGTATTATCATCAATCCAAATAATTACTGTTTGCATTTTGCTTCTCTATGCAGCACTGTCTGTTAATTCATGTTCTAACCACTGATTTGTATATTGTTGCAGTTTTGTTTACATAAGTACCTGATTTCCACTTAAATAAAGTTTACATTATAGTAGTATTAGGTGCATAACGGCAGAACACGGTAGTGTATTTAGTAGCGGAATTGCTATTTGGGAAAATGATGTACAGTTAAGGTAAAATGTAGAAACCTTAAATTGAAGTCTCCATTTGCACATTTTCCTGTATTGCGGTTCTTCAGTCTTTATTTCATGTCTGTCGTGTTATTTCACAAGGACTTTTCATTTCGCCTCTTTGATACTTAATCCGTCGCTCCGCTATTCCAATTTCGTGCTGAAGACATCACACGCAATATACTATTTACAAAATCTTGTCAGTAGCACATATCACAGATGTACCAACACTTGAATATCGATGACATGCTCACTAGCGACTTGCCTTATTCAGGTAGGTATTTACCTGGGGTTCTGGTGAGAAGTCGTGACCAGTAGGATGCAGCAGGTTGGGTGTAAGGACAAATACTTGCCGAAGACATTGGCTAGGGGTTGCGCTATGTCGTGAATTGGCAGGAGTTAGAATTCATGGACTGGCCATTGGATAGGGTCCCAGTGGCTTAATGGTCTACGAGATAGCTTGCCTTGTGTCGGTGGCATAGCGGTTAGGACGCTCGCCGACCATGCACTTGGTCCGGGGTTCGATACCCGGCCGACGCACTCCTTTACCTCGTTAAGCCAGAAATAATGCTGGTGAAGAGGGAAGGTTGGGTATGAGGCTAGCAACCCGATCCTGTAAAATAAACACTGCTACAGAAACTTCAAGCTTCTAGCTTGAAGCCCTATTTTCCACTGGGGAACGTGAAGGAAAAAAATAGCTTGCCTTGTAACCAGAAGATCCTGGGTTCGAGCCCTGGTGGTGGGTCCGTACTGATGAAGAGTCCCAAACCAGACTGACGAAACAGCTCTCCAGTACTCTCAGGTTTTCCAATGGTTCTTTAACCAATGTCAGCTCATGATGAAATCCTGCATACCATAGATGTAGTTTCTCCTAGTGTTGATATTATTAATTTCAATTTCCTTCCAATTGTAACTAGTTTTCAGACAAACTACTGGAGAGTCATCAGTAATTTGTCATTTTAACTACACAGAAAGATTGGAAATGACTTTTATGCATAGATTGAGGTAGTTCAACAGATGAGACGATTTCAGTACCTATTTATTCCTAATATTTTATAAGAACTTCAATTAATTGTTCTTAAAGGCTTTAAAATTAATGTGTTCACACTGATTTCTGTTTGTTTCTCAGGTACCAATCTCCGAAGTGTCGAAATTAATTGAACAACTGACAGATTCAGAGATACTTATTAAAACATTGCGTAATGAAATTGATGATCTTACTAAATATCAAGTAAGTTTTGCTTTCCCTTACCTTTTTGTATACAACGGACACTTCTTTTATTCACAGTGTGTTACTCCATTTTATAAAATAATCTGTAGAATGTTTTGTGTCTCCCAATGACACATGTTATATATGTTTATATTATCTTGACTGTGGTTTGGACATGTGTTTATACCCCTTTCAAGATACGTTAGGAAGCATTGTTCTTTATATTTTTGAATATGCGGATTTCTATATTGAACAAAGTAGTCCTGAAGCAGTACGCTTGTTGTTTTTACCATAGATATCTTTAAAATTCGACTTCATGCTAATCGTAGATCTGATTAAACCACAGTCACTTGATTGGTAAACTGTTGTGTATTGTAATAAAAATGCTATATATATTAGAGTAGAGCCAGAGATGAGGATCTAATTGAAAAGTAAATATTTCTTCCCTCAATCTTTCTGTTTCCTAAACCACAGCAACATAACGGGATGATATCTTTCAAATAGGACTAAATAGAAACACTAATAATAGTAATAGCAGCTGTTGTGGAATACCAGTACACGAATACGACACGAAGTAGAAATATGTGCTATTATAAATTGCGTCACCTGTAGTTTTTAATAATCACAAAAGAAATTGTCCTTGCTACCGAGAGTTAGGTTGTTTTTGAACCTGGAGTTTTTTCCAGTCAACATTGTATTTCTTGGTGATATGTAGAATGTACAAGATGCCTGTCTGATATTTCATACAATGTGAGGTTTTCAATCTACTCAATTGACTCCTTTTTATACGAGACTCTGTGTATACAATGGCAGTCTGTTTCTTTACATCGGTATTCAGGTATGTGAAGAATTCATGGCAACATCTTTCCAAAATTAAAAGTAGCACGAGTAAACTGATGTTTTAGTATCTTCATAGGGACTCCATCCTACCGTCAATTTGTTATCGTCTCTTCAACTTCCTGTTTAAGCTGAGGATCCAATTTGTGATGCATCTGCCCCCTGCTATCAAACACAGACTGTTGTCCTTTTGTAATCTGTGGCTCAGTGGGTCACGTTTGAGAATTAGATTTCCAAACGTTCTGAAATTGTCTAAAGTTTGGTTTGTAAGGGTTTGTTATGTTTTTACGAATTGATCACGGACTGATATCAGTTAGAGAACCATTGAAAACCAGGGAGTACTGGACAGCTGCTGTTTCATCCTAGTTTGGGAATCATCGGCAGTACGCACCCACTGGGATTCGAACCCAGGACCTTCCGGTTACAAGGCAAGCTCGTATACCAGTCAGCCACTGGGACCCGATTCAATGTCCATCCCATGAATTCTAACTTCTACCAATTCGTGATTTAGCGCGACCCCAACCATTGTCGTTGGTGGGACATCCATCCTCACACGTGACATCTAATTGGACCTCACTGGTCATGACTTCTCACTAGAACTCCAGGAAACTCCATCGTGTAGCAAGTCACTAGCGAGCATCAGATTGAGTAGAATTGAGTAGAATTTCATGAAACACCTGTTATTTGTCTATGCCTACAGCTAATGTATTTATACTGAATGCAAGTTTACGGCCTAAAAAGAGATATTTTAACCCGATGCTTCTGAGTTATGATGTTCAACTGTGAAGCGACTAAACTTTGAAGTTAACTGGGAAGACGGATTTCCCAAATGAAATTATTATTGAATATGTCTCAGGTTTTATGCTTAGCGTACTAATTTATTGGCCGTTATTATTATGAGTATTATGATTGTGCTTGTTTAAGAACTCAATCAATCACATCAAAATAACTTTATGCCTTTGTTGCTTTCCTCTTACTTTGTAATGAAAACATTACGGTATGAGGTTCTGCCTTCTTGTTCTTCTTCCTCCTCCTCTTCCTGCAATCTGTAAGTCAGTCAATAACTCCAACAATCACTGAATATCCCCCGCAAAAAAGATTACTTCTTTTCACACTTCATTAATTAAGCCTTTTTTGGTGTGTGATATGATTTCCATTAAAAAACAACAATTTTGGTTGGAACAGGAAATATTTGCTTTCTTTGATTTGTCAACAATGCTTTCTTTCCCCCTTATTCTGATTGCTTTTTTTTTCTTTTCTTTTCTGAACTACCTGTTTTGGTGGTCACATTTAACTCTTTCTTTTGTTGTTGTTGTTGTTGTAAATTGTCTTCTCCTTTTTTTAGTGTTCCATTGTGTGATTTAATCAGTGTAAAAGTTTTGTCCTATGACTTGACGCTAAATATGTTAGCGTACAATATAAAAATATTTTGTTTCCTTCATGTGATATACAATTCATTTTCTTTACTCATAAAATTCACTTTTATAAATTGTGTGAAATTGTGCTTACAAATTATTGTGTTACGGATTATCATTTGTGTGATAAGGGGGGAACACTTTAAATAAGGTGTGCAATGCACTACATGATTTATACTTTCTACTTTTCATCTTTACAGAATTGCATTTTAGGTTTTGCGTGAAATATTCCTTTTTTTTAAAAATAAATTCTTGTGTAAAATGGGGGTGGGTGGTTGTTGTGGAAACAGAATTACTTTGAACAATATAATACATAGTTTTACATTTATCCGAATTGATTCTGTTTCATCAAGCAGTAACGAGAGGTAATTCACCGTTAAGGAGGTGTGAACTGATTACCGTCTCCACTTATATTACAATTACAGACTCCTCATTTTGAAGTTTTATCATAGATTTGTGTAAACCTTTGGAACTGGTTAGTGTCTAATGCGCCTAGCACTAAAGGTTTGCTTGTATTACTTATTCTGTTAAATAAGAGTTTTCACTCACTTTCGAAGCATTCGTTTAGTCATTTCTGAGAATGGGATAAACAACCACTAACCTTCCCCCCTGTTTATTCTGGATTTGTTATCCATTATGTGTTATTGTTAAATTTAATTGATTATGCGTGTTTTTCAAAAAAATATATCGTTGTTTTAATTAATGAATATGAAGTTTCCAGTTTTTTCTTGTTAGATTAAAGATGAATGCGATAAAAATAAGTGGTATTCAAGTATTGGTTTGTAGGGATTCGATTGATTGGTTACAGGATTTCATCATGAGCTGACATCGTTTAGAAGAGAACCATTGGTAAATCTGGGAGTACTGGACAGCCGTTTCGTCCTAGTCTGGGACTGGGGTTCTAGTGGAAAGTCGTGACCAGTAGGGTACAGCAGGTCGGGTGTGAGGACAAATACTCACCGAAGACACTGGCTAGAGGTTGCGCTATGTCGTGAATCTGCAGAAGTTGGAATTCATGGACTGACCATTGGATCGGGTCCCATTGGATTAATGGTCTATAAGCTAGCTTGCATTGTAACCAGAAGGTCCTGGGTTCGAGCTGTGGTAGTGGGTGTGTACTGATGAAGAGTCCCAAACTAGGACGAAACACCTATCCAGTACTCCTTGGTGGTTTTCCAGTTTTTTTCTAACCGATGTCAGCTCATGATGAAATCCTGTAACCAACAATAACTAGTTTTGCATATCAGGTGGCAGGGGGTGGGGGTCAGGTAGTCGTTACCTGTAGAAAGTACTAGTCATGGTGTGTACAAATACAGGTTGTTCATCGGTTAGGATATGCAACTTTGAACTAGGAGCCTATTACCAAATATATGAATATAAACTAAGTTGATCAGTAGCAGCATCGACACATTTCAAACCTATACATTTATCATACGGTATTGAAAATGCAGACTCAACTGCGGAAGTAATGCAATCAAAGGTAACACATGAAATACTGGAAAAAATATAATGCAATTAAATGGCATATGATGCCACATTTGAGAGGTATCTCATCTGTGTTTCTCATCAATCACTAATATAATCTAGTCACCATTCTAATTAATACTGTATTAAGTAACGGACGTAAAAGTCATTTATCTGTTAACACTTCTGAATGGTTTTGGGTTTTGTTTTTGTTTACTCCATATATAATCGAAATGATTCATTCGTGTAATTATTTAACTCATGATTCCCTGAGATCTTCGCGTTCCAATATTACTTATTCTGTTTAAAAAGACACAATTTAGCATTCATAATTTCATAAAACTGATATTATATCTTATCTCTCTGAGATCGAGAAGGAGTTCATGTTTTAGTCAGTCAGACAGTCAGTCAGTTATTTAATTTTTATATCTGAGTCCTTTGCTATCAAAATACCCTTGTTGGTTAGTTTTGACAGCACACAATCCATAACTTATATGTTTCATATCTTATATACACTGATTAAAGCATACAACTTCCCTGTATTCATTCTCTTTTTGTTTTTCCAGGTTGAATTACAACATGATTACAATACTGTACATGAGATGTTAGTAGAGCGTCAAAATGATCTTACTCGAGTTACAGAACAACTACTTGAATCAGAGGTAATTTTAAATACTGTAATGAGAAAAATTTATTGAACTTCATAGTTGTATATTTATATAACTTACAAATGTTTTGATGCTAAGGGTGTTGAATTTATTTCAAGGTGGATTTTGTCACTAGCCAAAAGCAGTTGGAGAGCCATGAAAACTGAGGAAACACACTGATCAGCTTTATCTCTTGAATACTGCTACTCATCGATAATTTTTGGTTTCTACTGGTTTTTTAAATCTGATCTTGGTTTGTGACAAAATCTAACTTGGAACTGTATAATAAAGCACTGTCATTCTTATCAGGAAGCGTCATCATCGGATTATACGTCCACCTGTAGAAACAAAAGTGTATTTTAGCCTCTGCTAATTCAGGAATATCATAAAGTGAGACTGCATTCAATTATTGATAAGCTTTCTGAATTCTAAGTTTGATCACGAATTGATTTCATTTAGGAAACCATTGAAAAGCAAGAAATAATGAACGGCTGCTTCGTCCTAGTTTGGGACTCATCAGTAGCACACACCCTTGGCCCCCAACTGGAGACCGAACTCAGGATCTTCAGGTTACAGGGCTAGCTTGTTGACTATTCAGGTAATCAGTTCTAACCAATGCCATTCCGCTGTATGTAGCGTGACCGCCAACCAGTGTCATGGGTGACTATCTATCCTCACGCCCAACTTGGTGGATTCAGCTGATTGTAACTTCTCACCAGAACATCAGGCAACCTCGTCTTTTATGTAGTCTCTAGTGATCACTATATTAATTTCCAAGTGTTAGCTTGCAGGGATTCGATCGATTCCAATTTTGATCACGAACTGTTATATTCTGTTTGAAGATGCTGGATCACCACTTATTTTTCTTTGAGTTGATTTAAAATAGAACTACTTTTTACCGTAACTTTGCTTTAGCTTGAATACAATTAGATAACTTTCGTATAACGAATGTATGTGATTATATGCGTGTTCTAAGTTGTATACGAAGTAATCCTAATCGACAAAACGAATACCAGCAAGATTAAATTAAAGATTTACTAGGAATAAAGTGGTTGCCTGTATAATGACGTGGTACAATCATATATTCACGTTGTTTATTCAATACTGTGGCTATTCTACTCCCTGCTAAAAAAATACTTTCAATTACAATTGTGCACACCATTCACTAGTCATTATGTCACGGATTTTGGTTTCTGGTCAGATTTTACCTTCTCAGTTCAGTTGTGTGTATTCGATTATTTGTTTCATTGATGAGATAGCCTCTCATTATATCAAGCTTATTATCCGGTTATCAGTGATATTGGCAAACAGATCACTTATATGCATGTATATTCATTCAGTTCCACTCGTTTATCCTCATTATTTTAATGAATCCTAAATAATGTATTTCCTATCATTTCTGTCTATATAGGGTAAGCTTAAAAGTCTTAGTAGTCAACTTGTAGAACGTAAAGATGTTCTTTCGGAACGTGATGAAGATCTTTTCCTTCTTAATGAGGATAAAGTGAGTCTAATAAATTATTTTTCAACTGTTTAAAAATATATTATTTGTTATTAATCCAGCTATAATTTTTCTGTCGACTTAATGGACCGAAATGTTCGGTGTCTTTCGACATGTCGGCTGATAGTACGGACGTTTTGATGATGTTTCAGGATTAACTTGAAGTTATATGGTGAATGGTGACTAGCAGTGGAATCCAGAATTGCACATTTTGTTCTATTTGAGACTTGTCAGCTGGTGAGTGATGGTTCACTTGAAGTAATTCGGTGAATGGTGATTGGCAATGGTGACACCATCACTCACAGATGAATGCATATGCATCTGCCTGACGAGTCTCAAATAGGACAAAATGTGCATTCTAGATTCCACTGCTAGTTACCGTACACTAAATTACTTCATGTTTTGCATTTTCCCCTAATTGTAATTTTTATTCCACTGAGGCATCCGTTGAGTTAAAACTCAATGTTATATTGTTTATTTTAATGTCGTCTTCTCTTTGTGTATGTCTTTATCCATATAATTATATATACTAATAATAATGTGTAGAGTAATACAGGGTTCGAGATAGCTGTTGTTATTTCAAGCTATGGTTCTTATAATGGGTCAAATGATTAACAGTCAACTGGACTGAGTAAAGTTAAAGACGAACTATGAAAATGAAGTAAAAGTCGATATTGGATAAAAAAAAGCTATAGGAGTCTGATATTTGAAACTACTTAACATTCTCCGCCTACTTCAGCCTCGGAAGCTAGGTAGATTAGTATCATTGGCTCTTACACAATAAGTTTGGCTCAAAACCCCTGGTATATGGAAATTCTGCTCTAACTAACATTGAATTGTATTCCTAACAATGTGTGGACCGTTTCGGTCGGATGAATCAAATCCTTATTTTCTTCTTCAGAACACTTTTTTCCGAAACCATTTATCTTTAAACGAGTGGACTTCATCCATTACATAAAGTTGGCTGTTGTTAATGGAAACCATATGCAGTGGATTGATTGGCTTTACTAACTAGAAGTAGGTATGTTAATTAGAACTGACTAACCGTACATTTTGGTTAGTACTGTTGAACGTGGCTTTGACTAAGCGGAATCGATGTAACTGATAAAAAGCAGTTTTCTTCAGCTCTTTTGGTGACTTTCATCAGTACATTTCTAATTCCCCCCCTATAGTATATGTTAATCACAGTTTGAAGTTATGCTACAGTTGCGCAGTAAATTGGCATGGTGTTAATCGTGAAAAGAGAGAGTTGAAATCTTCTAAAGACTCAAAAAAGTCAGATGCTTCAAGAATAGCAGTGTTTAATATATACAATAACACAAATAATCAACTTATTGCTGGAATCAGCTTTTATACGCCTTATAACTCTGAAATATACTCATGTTGGTATGACTATGGAGAGCTGTATAGTGAAACTAAGGTTATTGCTTCCATCTAACGACGATGAATACTAATTGAGTATGGATTCATGTTATCAGTAAGCACACATACACATGCACAAACTTTACCAATAATTCTGTGTTTACTCATATTATTTTATGAGAAAATGAGTATTTTATTGGTCTTGCAATTGCTTAGGTGTTCAGTTGAACTTCTTGAATTGTGTTAGGAATTTATGTGATAAGCAATTCTGACCATGATGCAACTGACTAATTATTTAGTTATGTTGTGGATGTCGCCTACATAGCATTATTTACTTCTTTTTGCTGTGACCACCATAGCAGAAATGTAGATATTGCTGTTTTACATAGGACGGGCAAGTCATCAAACAAAGTCATAAAAGTCCTTTGACTAAGCTGGTTGGAATATATGCTATGAATGCCTTTTCACTGTCTTCTTTGACGTAATATTAATAGACATAAGCTTAGGTTCCGAAGTAAAGGGCTACCACAATACCATAAAATCAGTAATTATTGACCACAACTGTTCTGTTTAGTGTCACACTGTAACTAGTGTGACTTGTAGAGGTGGTATGGCTCAAAATCAGTGTTGTCCGCTCTCGTGCACTAATACTTTTGTATTGATTGTATTGTTCATTTCTCAGGTCCTTTATTCTCTGTTGTTCTTCTTAGTATAATGTAATTTATCTTAATTACTATTCAAAAGAAGTTTTTTTCTTAATTAACATACTGCATTTTATTTTTAATTTCAAAAGAAATCATTAGAGTTGAAGGTTACAGAATTACAATCTGAGATTGAAGAATTAAGACGTTTGGTTAAATGTTACAATTCAGAAAATCATGTGCTATCCGTATCAGTACAAGCTGATCTTCCTAATCCTCAGGCGGTTATGGACGATAAAATGATTCAAGTTATGATGGTGAGTTAATTCTCAATATTATGAATTTTATGTAAAATAACCGACTACAGTTACAAAGCACGTACACAAATGAACGATATTTCAATTGAGAGGCGTTACCACTGAGTTGTTCCGGTTCCCGATTGACTTCCTGTAAGACTGTATTGGATACTTCGATTGGACGCTAGGTAGTTAGTTACTCGTGCCATGAGTCTAGTTCTTTTTTTGCCACAGACTGAATCCTATCAGTCAGTTATGCCATGTGGCCATCATGCTAGGTGGCTTGCCGTGAAAAGACTAGCTATCTTTGATCACATGTGTGTCTGCGTTCTATCTCCAGTGTTGGGTGGTATAATAAGGTGAGCGACATTGAAGTTAAGCGTCGAATGTTGGGGCATCAAGTCATGATGCTACATCAATTGAGATGGCTAGGACATGTGTCACGCATGCCTAGCTATCGCCTTCCTCAACAGGAAATGTTAGCTAACATAGGATGAGGTTGGAAAAGAGCTACTGGTGGTCAAACCAAAACATGGAATCAGTCCATGAAATCTTTAACAGTTAGATTGAGCCACATAGAGAAGTGTAGACTACTTGCCTGGTTTCGTTCCTCGAGATGGTAAAAACCAATAGCTAGAGACAATTGGTGGTGTGGCTCGAAATCGTTCTCAATGGCGTAGATGCATTCACTCTTTGTGATATCTCATATCCACTAAATTGTCATGTTTTTCCATGTTGCTATTCTTTCTCCCGGAGATTTCTGCTCATTATAACTTTTTTGAATTTCTTCCTCTCTTTATTTGTTTCTACTTTTGTGTTCTACATGGAGTGTAGCAACTCGAACTGCTTTACTTCTGTGCAAAGTTCTGTGTTGAAATCAGTCAATCAACTTAACTATAAGCCATTGATTAATCGTTAATGTAGACCAATAGACTGCGTCTTTTTAAGTGATTTGTGCGAGATAAATCCTACTTTATGCATTTGAATAATGCTGAAATCACTGTCATAAGATAATCAAAACGCTTTTCGCTTGACAAAGGTGTAAAGAGTGGACAACACAAACATGAATTTATTTTCCATAGAATTCGTTTCTTTCTACCTGTCATGATATTATTATTCTTAAATTTCGCATTTTTTTGTTCTTATAGATGCCTTCTTTGATTGATTCACAATACCGTTCCATCTCTGATGAAAATAAGAATATGCTTGAAGATAGCAACCATGTCTTGAAAGAATTGACCATACAACAACAACAACAACAACAAGAGAACGGAATTCCTCAGCTATGGGCTTCGTCTACTCCAAAAGAAGAGGAGTCACCTAATTCGACATTTACGTCAACGGAGAATGATACACCTACTAAAACTATATCAGCTGAATTAAATGTAAGAATTGAGTATTTAAAAATGTAAATTACTACACTTTTGCAGTATTTGTGTTCCTCGTATAAGTGAAACAAGCAGACACAGTTGCAGAATTGATGCATAAACAAATCTGTGTGATTGTGTAAGGCGATTGTATGTATGAATATTTGATAAACCCCTATTTTAGTAGGCTCCATTTCCTTTTTATTATCACCAGAGCTAACCAGTTAAGGCAAGAAATTGGTCATTGGGCCAACTTGATAACTTTTTAGCTAGTTTTTATGGTATCCATCTTGGGACTTAAATTTTCCATCAGAAGCCAGTTTTAACCATTTAGCCTACTAGTCGAGATTTCAAGATTCATCAGCATTTCTTAATTCTGCCGGGTATACTTGACATTTATTTGGGAAGCAATATGTCCGCATAGGTTATGTCTAAGTCCATATTTCATATCTAATTACTGAAATCATTTGACATTTTTTATGCACGATCCTATTCATCAATTGATTGAAAAGTTATTTACAGAGATACTCTCTTATAGTTAACATTAGCTTACATATGAAAATTTTGTGTTGTTATGGTAACCGTGTTTCTTAAATTAAAGAATTTCTTTACCGTTTGCATTAGTCTTGCCATATGTAAATCAGAACATAGTAAGAAATTGATAAAATTGATATTTTTATATGAATATTTCTTCTTCTATAGTGACACGTATGTTCTTTTGATGTAATTATAATTTTAATGATCTGTTTTTGTGGCGCATCATTCTATACCTATGGTGTAAGATACATGCCTTTTGTTATGATAAAATTAACATAAGACTGACTATGTATGTTTGTTATACACACTTCCCTTTATATTATTACAGACACTAACTAATCGATTGAGGGAGGAAAGTGTTCGACTGGCAACAGCAACTGCAATAGCAACTTCTCGACAGCCTGTCTGTGAGCGATCATCTACTATCTTAGCCAACAAACCAATCAGCCAAACAGAAGAAGCTATAAAAGTTGAAGCTGATGCATTGTCTGCTCCTTGGATGAATGAAATTCGTGAAACCTATGCTCATCTGAAAGAAGCAGTCAGTGAAGTCTCCAAGGTGAATACATATACATACATACCTTCGTAATTTTAAATACCATCTCTTTTCTTTTTCATCATGTTTCTTACAAATGTTATTTCTGTCTTCTTTGAAATATCAGATGGTAAATGACAATACATGGATTAAAAAAGAACCGTCAGATTTCGAGGATGCTGAAGAATCAATGAGAAATTTCGTCAACCGACTACTTGTTTCTTTGAGCAAAGCGCTGGATTCTGACGAAAAACTATGGCTTTCTGCACTTACAACATCTGTTGATCAAACCTATGCAATTATTCAAAATAAGATTGGTGTACATTCAAATTTAGTGGAACCGCTCACTGAAGGCATTCTCTGTAGAATTATACAACAGTTAACTGAGAGGATATCTGCGTTTATGCGACGTGAAGATGAGGTATGCGTTCTTTCTGTCTGTTATATATGTATAACTTTGCGTTTAAAAGCATTAAGTTATTTTACAGTAACTTTTACCTGCTACTTATCGAATCTGTGTATTTTGTTTTCTTTGTTTCAGTTTCGTAAATGCCTCGTAGAAGTTCTTCATGTAGAAGAAGCTTCTTTCAAATCGGAATTGAAAACTCATATTAATCGTTCTGATACATTGATGGAAGAGAGTAAGTTGTGTGCTTTGTTTATCTGTCTGATTGCAGTTTCTTTTATAAACCTGTCTTTTAAAGTTAGATGTATGGGTGATTGTATGAAGTGATGAGCAGCGAAATCAAAAGAAATGAAAAAAGACTCCGCCGATAGGTGCTAACAGTGGACAGCTGTTCAGGTGTCCTTAAGAAACTGGCTGTGGAAATCTAGGGGTGTATCAGAGGGACAAATCATTGGTTATTTAATAGGAAGGTGGTATTTTGGTTGAAAGACGGCATCGACTGTCTGATTGGATTTCAATACAGAACTTTGCTCAAAAGTGCAGCAGTTCAAGTTGCCACACTCCATATAGCACACTAAAGTAGAGAAAAGGGAGAAAAAGAGATCCAGAAGAACTGTAATGAGCAAAAATGTCCGGGAGAAAGAGGAGTAACACAGTAAACATGATGATTAAATGGATCTGGGAGTTGACGGAGATTGTAAACATCTACGTAATTGAGGATGATTTTTAGCTGCATCACCAACTGTCTCCAGCCATCAGTTCTTAGAATCCCAAGGACCTGAACCGGAAAGTCACCATCTTCATTTATTGACCTCGAGTTCTTATTTGCTCACCCGGAACTCTTTTCCAACCTAATCCAATGTCAGCTAGCACTGTTCATCGAGGAACGTGGCGGTTTGGCATTCGCAACACTTATCTTAGTCATCTGAAAGAGGAATCACTGATAAGTAGTACATTGAAAGCAACAGTCATTACTTCACACTACTGTGTGAAATAGAAGGAAGAAACTGCAGCCTATTTGCTATATTTTATAACTCTTCTTATGATCTCTCAGAACTCATCCTAGTGCTCTAACAGATGCTAATGTGATACATTATGCTTTATCCCACAGCGTCTTGTCCTGAGTCAACCACCCTCGCTTCTTCATCCATTCTGAATGGGCGGAGGGTAATGAAGAGTGAACGATATGGTAGCTCCTAAAATTACATTCTTAGTTCATTTACAACTCACTGAAGCCAGTATTGTGTCAAGGTGATATCACTCATTTTAAGATGACTGCATCATTGTGCCTTAGAAGTATTTACATAGTGTCGTTACTGAAAGCTAGCAGTTCTACGTAGAGACAATGATGGTCGGTCATCCTCGTAGATACCACCTTTAACTAGTGTAGAGAGATTGCACGCAACTGTGTGTTGTAAGTCCGTAGTTGGATGATCAGTGTCATGTCTCAACGGTGCCAGTATTAGTGACCCAATCTATCGGAATTCTCATCCATTACACCTCTGTCTGCACTGACAACTCCCTATGTTTATGATCATCTCGTCATTTATGTATGTAGTTGTTATGACGTAGAGTATTTTCTCGTGGTGTGGCATATTTGGTCTGTCTTTTGAAAAGAGATGGTATAAAAATAAGGTACTACATCCTCTTATTTGTAAACTCTTCAAATCGCCACCGCCAGATTAAAATATTCTTCAGTCTAACAATAGCTTAACTCTCGTTTTTATACATATTTGTTTACAAAATTTTACTGTCATTTATTTTACACTGCATAATACGGTTTTCTTATAGAAAAAAAATATAATACCTTTCTTTGTGTGGTTTTTGTTTTTCCACTCTAGTCAATCGATTGACTCAACTTGTAAGTTCAAGATCAGAAGAATTGGATCATGCTAACAATCGAACCAATGAACTTTGCAGTCAGTTAGGTGATTTAAAAGTTGAACTAGTTCATACACAGCATGAATTACAATCAAAGTCAAATGAAGTTGATAATCATCTCACAAATATTGAACATTTAAGGTTAGATTTATTGTCATTAGTAAATTAAACCACAATATTTTCTTTAGAAAAAATAATTTTCCTTTTTTTTTGATTAATAAATAAATGACTTTCTTGATAGGATTGTTATATGATAGTCGTAAGAGTCATATCGTGTGCAGTTATTATTTTTTTCGTTGATTCAGTGGCTCTGTTTAACTATTATGCCTCTGTATCGTATTATTTCTTATACTTTTGAGGCAACATAAACCGGACATATTTCTGCCTGTACTGCAGGGAAAAGTATATCCCTTCTAAAGTTTACAGTTAATATTCTTTAGTTTTTTGAATTCATGAGAAAGTATAATTTTGATGAAAAGTAAGAGGATTTTAAAATTGCCAATTATCAGCTTATTGAATTGTCCTCCAGTAGATCAGAATTTCCATTTTCTGTTTGTTTTTATTATTATTATTTTTCTTGAAATGCCATACTGTCTGTCATCTTTCCATGTCCTGAGTGAGTAATTCACTAAATACTCAGTCATGTCGGTCTGCACCAAACAAGCAATTAAATGCATGACACTAGTGGCTACCTAGTAGGCTATCAAAGTATCCATTTCAGCAGTACAGGAGGTCAATCGCGAGGTCGAATAGTTCAATGGTAACGTCTGTGACTGCAGTGCCAACTGACTTGGGTTCGAATCTCAGAAGGCGCGTAAATTTCTTCAAGATTTCAAGTACGTCTTGCTGACGAGTGACAGAAAGCACGAAAACCAAGATCTATACAGGTCTTCCTACCGATTGCCTCCAACCATCTAATTTCGATACAGAATGTACCGCTCTATGGCTAGTCCCGTAACATGTTGACTATTGTAATTCTCACTAGATGCATGACATTACTTATTTTCTACGTATTGTCCAATCAAAACGATACGATAAACACAAAAGTATATACTACTTCACTTCATTGCATTTCAGCTCACTGCTCTAAATATTCGTCGTATAACCACTGGGTCAAAGGTTGAATTTCCTCTCCACCTGCTACTAAGTTTTGATAAGCATAGTAATAATATTATCTCATCACACAATAGGTGTGGCTTGTTACCAGCTCTATAGAACTGCTGTACAAGGTTCTTGAGTTGCATTTCTTTACTTCATCCCACTTCAACTCTTTTTGCTATTTTGATCATTAATAACATTTCTGGTCTGTACTGAGTCAGTCAACCTAACTAAAGTATTACGGTTCATTGATAGTTGATTTATTTTTCTAAACTCTCTTTTTTTACAGAAAAATTTGAGGTGTGTGTTCACGACTAACTCTTTTATTTAAAACAAACAAACAAACAAACAAATTTAGAGATAAAAAACAAGGTGCATTTTTGTAACACTTTCATTTGCACTTGTATACTATCTTTACTTTACTGCATTTTACCTATAGCGCTATGTTTCTGATTTTTTAGTTGCTTATCATTTTGTAAATTAGATTGAGTTAAATTGATGGAAAAAATAATGGACATATGTATGCATGTGTGTGTGTGTTTGTGTTTATTGCAATTTGTTAATGAGCATTCTTCATCTCATGCAAATATCTTCACATCAATCATCGGGATAGGCCTACTCATTATTTCTGTGAATTCAAATCATTCACCATCTTTGGCATTCAGTGAATAATCATAATTATAATACTGATAATAATAACAACAATAATAATATTAATTTAGACAAAACAATAAGAAGACGTAATTTGTTTGAATCGTGTAATGTTGTACTTGTGCAACACATTTCGAAAAATCTGATCTACCACACACGGACTTGTCATAGGAATATTTATGAAATTAATAGAGTTAAGACGTGAGAAAGGCGTCGATGGCACAGCGGTTAGAGCGCTCGCCGACCATGCACATGGTCCCGGGTTCGATCCCCGACCGACGCAGTCCTTTACCTCGCTAAGCTAGTAATAGAACTGGCAAAGGAGGAAGGTTGGGCATGAGGCTAGCAACTCCATCCTGTAAAAATAAACACTGCTACAGAAACTTCAAGCCTCTCGCTTGAAGCTCTATGTTCCACTGGGAACGTAAAGGAATAAAAAAAGAGGTGAGAAAATAGACTTAGGTCAAGTTAAGAGGACATACTGAAGGTCAAAATAACAATGAATATCACTAAACCAAATAACAGAGGTAATAGTACATCTGCTCTGACTAAGATCAAAACAAAGTTTACCAAGGAAGGTGGTTTAGTGTGATGACGAATTGTTTTTGAACGCATAAAGGTGACTTAAAGTTCCTAGTTGCTAGCTAGGGCTTCCACAAAGTTTAGGATTCACCCCAAACACCTTCTATAGATGGGTTTAAAAGACGTGTAAACACCAATTTATGTCCTGTCTCAATAATATGTTTCACAATAGAGGAGCTAGGTCTCCTGTCCTCACCATCAGTGGGTTCTGAAGATTCTATTCAATATGTCATTTCAACTAAGTCTATTTTCTCACCTCTTAACTGTTTATTAATTTTATATATATTCCTATGACAAGTCCGTGTGTGATCGACCAGATTGTTCGAAATGTGTTGCGCAAATACAACGTTACACGATCCAGACAGATTACGTCTTCTTATTGCTTTGTCTAAATTCATAAAGGGAACTAATTGCTTTAAAATAGTATTAATAGTAAATAACAAGCGGATGAAAGTGATTATTTATTTTTTCTAAAAATAAGTTTTTTACACTTTTGGTTTTGGGTCCATAACACTGCAGATCAACCATCGACTGGAAACATGTCTCTGTAATATCAGTACAAATATTTTGTTATTTATCTCTATCTATGTTCATATTTAGATCACAACTATCTGAAGAATTTGCTAAGACAGGGAAACTGCGTGCAGAACTTGAAAGCCTTCAATCAGCTAAAGTTCAAGTTGAACATGAATTATCATCTTCGAATAATTTAGTTCAAGTAAATTCAACTTTTTGTAAAAAAAGTTTATTTTATCTTATTTTTCAATTATTTTTTTGGCATTTAATGTTATATTGTATGTGGAGAAAAGAAGAAGCTATGAAAATAACACTAATAGTCTATACCTATTTTTCATCCATTCCCTTGAGTTCTGAGTGGAACGTAGGGAGGAGGGCTTCAGCAGTACGTCGGCATTTCATCCTGTTCTTGGTAGTCCTCTTTAGCTGGCTGCACAATTGCCCATATGCTTTCATTTCCTCCTCACATAATCTCTTCCATGTCATCCTCGAACTCACGCCCAGCGCTTCGATTCCCGTCCAAGTCCCACTTGTGCGATGACCTAGCGCATGACGTCACTCAACCGTCTCCTCAGTATGTGTCCAATGCCATCTTTGATTCCTTCGGCATAGTTGTAGAGTGATAGGTTTTTATTTGGTTCATTTCCATATTCCTTTGCGGTTAATCCTTTCTGGCCGTTTGATTTTCAATGTGGAGCGAAAACAGTTGTTGATGAAGTTCTGGAGTAACCGGTTGAAAATGCTTTCCATTACTCTCCAAGTCTCTGAATCATGTACAAGAATTGAATTGAAATTAGTGTTGAAAATACGGGTTAATGATTGATACAGGTTATTTGTGACCTCCTCATCCTTATCGCCTGTTTTTGGAACGATCCTGCCTAGATCAGTGAAAGAGGTGACCGTTCATGATGACTGATGCTTGTTGTTGTTGTTATTTAAATATCATCATCACCTCGATCATCTTCATGTTCATTTGCAGTTCTGTATTCACGTCTGTGGAACCAGAAATAGCATTTTAGCTGATAACAGTGCTAAAGATTTCGTTTTGCTTTATCATCAGTGGTTGTATTTAATTTAATCATCTACTGGCATATTAATTCTAATTGATTATCCAGTGGAGCATCTCTACAGCTTCAAAGTAAAATGGTTGATCATCGTGAAGTATACTGTTATTTCATGTCTCTCTTTGAATTACATATAGTACAAGTCTAAGTAGTATGAAAATCTCTTGAAAAAAAATCAATATTTTGAACAATTCAAAAAACCCATGTTCTCTTAGCTACTTATTCATAAATCGTGTTAGGGATCAAATATATGTGCACGCAAGATGCTCAGAAAGATGAGTTACACGCATGATGCAGTCTCAGTTTTTGCACATCATTACTTTATGAGTTGCATACAAATAGTTTGGAGTTATCTGTTAGAAAAGTTAGAAAAGCTTAGCGGTAAATTGATTCATTGAGTGATTTTATTCCATTTTTTGAAGCTTTAACTTACTTTCTCATGACTTCATCTTTGGAATTGTGGTTTGGTCATATACAATTTCGCGTAGTGCTACTTTTCTATCAGCTGATGATTTCTATAATTTTAGGTCTTCACATTTAAACTCTAGTAACAATTTCTCCATATTCTAAATTTTTGTTTAAAACAAACTCTATAGGAATTGAAAACTTCATTATCAAATGAAAAGAGTCGAGCACAAACTTTGAAAGTTGAACTGGATCAGTTATATGACCAAATTAAGAAGAATACCCACCGGTGAGTAGACTATTTCTCTTCATATATATATATATATATATATTCTTTTTTCATTGTCAAACAAAATTTAACTTGATGTCGATCCTGAACTCAGTAGTTTAACAACTTTGCTGATGGATCATTTGTCAACTTTGATTTTTAGACTGTTATATTTTCCAGTTTTGTCCCAGTTGTACTCAAAATCAACCTCTCTCTGTGTTATATGTGCATTCATTCTGGCCCGAGTGGTCTAGTGGATACCACTTTGGGTTTTGTAACAATGGGTACTGGGCTGGAGTCTCTGTGGGAATACTATCACTCACTTGCAATTGCAGGTACATCCGGATGATGAGTCGCAAGTAGAACGAAGTGAGAACCCTGGATTCTATTGCTAGTCATACTTTTACCCCAAATCTCTCTTCCTCATATATGCATTTAATGTTAGTGCAACTTATTTTGTAAGAAATTGATTACACATAGCAATACAATTAAGTATTTTCCAAAATCCGTAGTTTAAGTGTTTTGAATTCTTCTTAATTGTTCCAGGTGAAGTGTTGTACACACATGATTTTTGTAATCAGACCCTAACTTGTTTACGTCTACTATTGGATCCAGCTCTGTTCTTAAAAGCTGTATCTTGTCCCCTGTTGCGTTTGTAATCAACGAACGTCAGTCATTGTGGGGAGTAGCATTTTCAACATATCAATAAACACCAGTAACTTCCAACATTGTTAAGGAAACTTGACTTATGCCCTAGTTTTCACCATCACTTTTATAACTTGTTATAAGGGACAGACAAGCTTTCTGTTCATGGTCTGGTGGGTTGGTGGGAATAGGCAGTTTTTTCATTCTTTCCCTTCTCCATTGATTTGATTTTTAGTCTTCAGTCCAATACGTTTGTCTTTCAGGCGTGTACAGATTGTTAATTTTATCGATCCTCAAAATATGAAATGAACTTTGTACACATTAATGATAACATAGGTGATCATTTTGTCTACACGTATATCAATAGGAATATCACAGGCAGGCCCTACTTAGGATTCCTAATAAGGCTGAAATTAAGGTTGCATTTGAACCAACCAACTCATTGAAAGATAAACTTTGTCGGCTAAAATTACCCTATAGATCCAATTAGGAAAAGTTATATAATTTGATAAATTTCCTAAGGAAATGACTGTGAGGTCAGCTTCACAGGTCAAACTAGTGGGTCGAGGTCACTTAGTTTATCGGAACACAGATGTTCTGGCTAGATCTAGAAGAATTGAGCATAATCTAGAAAAACACTCAATCATTAAAAGGAATGCACTTACATGTATGTAATCACACATTAGGATAGAGTTGAGTAAAAGTATTAAAAAGTAATAAAGTTACGTGGAGAGAGAGACAGGTTAATCACTGAATATTTGCTCTTTGAGTCAACACTAAATACGTGCAAGCGAAATGACTTAATGCCTATAATGCATATAAAAGAAAACAGCAGGGAGTTGGATTACTTATAGCAAGTTACCCATTTGTGTTAATACATCGATATGATTTTGTGAGCAATAAATTGTGCACATAATGTCACTAGTACATTAAATCAAATAAACTTATCTAACATAGAGAGTGATTGACTAGTCTTCATATATGAGTATTGAGGGTGGATCATCAGATAGTATGTTGGTAATGCCTGTGTCGAGAATACAAACCAGTTTACAATCACTATGTGTGTAGTCATGCATCTATAATATTCCCTTTGAGTGCAAAGAATAATTTTGCAGCCTATTGGTTTTTGAAGGAAAAACACTGGTGTGATAGTCGTATTGTATTGCGGCTACGTATTCCAGTAATTTTTCATTATCCCATTTACCAAAATGCATCTTTCAACAGGCATATGCGTCAGATGTAGTCTGGTCATCAAGTCAGAGTGGGTAGGGCTTGAAAGTCAGTCAGTTGTGCGGCCAAGACACGAATCTATCATAACAGGTAGTCAGTCATACAACAATTACTGACGTCACTACTAGTTGGGGTAAACAACTGAACGAGTTCAGAGTCCCTCAGACAAATTATGTAACTAGCTTCCTCATAAATATAAAGCAATTGAATTTTAGTGGGTCTTTATTTTGGCCAAGACTGCAATATTTCCTTAACATTTTCAACGCTAAGAATGAAAACAAATGACTTAATTCTGCTTATTTTCCCATAAATCTACTTAACTGTCTAATTTTTTCTAACTCACCCATGTCTTCTAAATACTTTTTCCTTTCTCGATCAAACAGAAGGCGAATGCAGACAGTTATCATAAAAATTGTCATAAAAATTTCCATGTAGTGAATTACTGTTCAGATTCTTCCCGCCTATTTTGCAGGATATTGCGTTTTCCCTTGGATGCTATACTTGCTTCTATCACTGTCTTTTACAGGTTTCGTTGTTTGATTCGAAGATGGATCAAACTACTTTTTGACTATAACAGGTTTTCCAACGCCTCTATGCATGCATCCCTTTGACATTAAGATTCCCCCCCCCCCCCCGAAATGACCGGTGAAAAATCTTAACAGATGCGACAGCTTCTTTCAAATGTATACTTCTTGTCTGTGTAGTGTTGTTTCTAACTTCTATGTCTCTTGTCTGGCTAGAAAAAATCGATCGAAGTGTTGGTCACCATTGAACAACAAATGAACACGACTAAATTCTCTGTGATAACACAAGTATGATTTTACTCAAAAACGTTGTCAATGTGAATGTAAACATCCCGTATTTCTATATTTCATCACCCTAACGTTGGACTGTATAAATTTTAATTTTTCCTTTATAATAGCAGCCCAATATCTCGTCCACCAAAGGAGTACAGCATTGATAATGACAACAATAATCATAATAGTGTTAATGGCAACATGATAGCAAATGAAAATAGAGCGCCTACTGATAATTCTTGTTCTTCTTCTTCAAATCTTAATCGAAATATTTATCAGGCTATAAATCTTGCCACTGTTCATTTAGCATCTACTCGACGTGATACAATTAAATTACAAAATCAAGTGAAAGAATTACAGGTATTTGAGAAAGTTATAATATACAACTGTTTGGTGTTTTCTTTTTGTGCTCAAATCATTTTTTGCATTTTATCGATCTGTTAGATTTTCTCCCTTTTAAAAAAATTTGAAATTTACGTCTTTCACCACATGCATTAACGTGACTTAAAATCCCTGTGGTGACATAAACTATTTGTTTGCTTTATGTAAAGAAATTTGATCCAATGGATTGACTGTGTGTCGGTTTTGTTTATGACACTTTATTGCGTCATAGTGTAACGTAAGTATTAGCAGTCACATTCGTGTTCCTCTACGTGTGATGCATCAAATTGGTAAAGATGGAGTAGAGATTTCACTTGTGGCATACCGGTCAAAGGTCGAGTTTCTCTTTTAGTACATTGCGGAAGATATCGCTTATATATTTATATCTTCATATTTATGAAACTTCTTGAATTTTGTTTTTCACAGAGAGTGACTGGTTTCAACATGGGACTTTGCACAGAAGTAAAGCAGTTGGAGTTTCCACACTGCATATACCACACGGAGGAAAACAAAAGAGATCCAAAAGAAAGATAATAAGCAGTAATATGAGGGAGAAAAAATAGTAACATGGAAAAACAATAGGGTGTGGTGGATATGGCAGATCACAAGCATTGAATGCATCTGAGTCATTGAGGAAGATTTCGAGCCATATTACCGATTATCTCCAGCCTTCATTGGTTTTTACCATCTCGAGGACCCTAACCAGAAAGTCTACACCTCCCAACGTGGCTTAAACTAACGGTTATGGATTTCATTGACTGATGAAGCCATGTTTTGGTTTGACCACCACTAGCTCTTTTCCAATCTGATCCTATGTCAGTCAGCTAACATTGCCCATCGAGGAAGGCGATGGCTAGGCATGTATAGCACATGTCCTAACCATCTCAATCGGTCTAACTTCACAATCTCGTCGATTGATTTCCCCTCCTTAGCTAGGACTCGACCGATGCCTTACCTCAATATTGCTCACTTTATTATACCACTTCACGCGGGAGACAGAACTCAGATACCTATGATCAAAGATAACAACCCAGGCTTTTCATATCTTCCACTTTCAATGGCCATGTCTCACAGCCACGTGGGAGATCAGAGCAAACTGCTGAACAGTACACATGCCCTTTGATCGATAGCGGGATATCACTTCTATTTTAGGCATGGTGCTTGTTTTCCACAATTATCTTTTTATGTTGAAAGTGGAGAGTATTGGGCTAATTGGAACGATTGAGAACTGAGTAGTGCAGACGTGTGAAGCTAAATATATTCGAGGTTGTTTGATAGAGTGCGTTGAAATGGTTATCTTGCCAGTAAAGTTTTTGTTGTTATATGACGCCGATTTGGAAATACCTAATATAGATTTTGACCTTAACATTTTTAGTCTATCATAGCTCGTATAGATTTGTCTGAGACTTGTTCGGATGCATTAATTATATATTTGACTGTGTAAATGTTCAGTATTTCGTGGCGTTCCACTGAAGCGTCGATAAGGCGGTAGCTGGTGACTGCTCACCACAATTTATTTTTCTTATCAAAGTATTTAACCAACCTAACTGATCTTATTTTTATTGCTAGACAACTGCTCAAGCTTTACGCTTAAATCTCGCTGAAGCAGAACTACGTCTTATGCCCACCTTAACATCTTTTGTACCTGACGCGGCTTTGAATCATTCATCAAATGGAATTCGTGATCCACAGTGTTGTATTCCTAATCAAGTTACTGCGAAGAAGAAGTCATCTGTAAATACAAATCAATCAGAATTACCAAGTGCAAGATTTGCTAAGCTGAAAAATGTGTGTACAGATTTGTTGTCACGTGTATCAATGGATGAACACGATATTCATGAGAATGATGATGAGCCTGATGATGACGATGACGATGATGGTGATGATGATGAACATGATCAATATGCAAATTCATCAGATGATGACAGTATTGAAGAGAATATATTCCTTGGAACTGGAATTCTAAATCCTCTAATAAGTAGAAGTCGTCGGAATAATGGGGAACATGATAAAAGTTTCTCACGTAATAGTGGTATATCAATATCATCTACTCATGATCAAACACAGAATTACACTAGTACATTAGATAAATCTACGGTATCAAGAAACAAAAGAATTAACAAAGTCAATAATTCCGTAAGTGTACTTTTACTGTCATCTTGAAAAGTTGATTGAGTGTGTAAAAAGTCATTGTTTAAATTTTGCACTGAGATAACTTAACTCAAAGTCAGGAATGATAATCATGGATTCTCATTGTGCTAGTTTTGAAAACAGTTATTCTAAATGTCTTTTTTATTCCTTTACCTTTTGTGTAGAAAATAGGGCTTCAAGATTAAACTCTAAAATTTTAGTAGCGGCGTTGTTTGTTAACGGGGTACATTTGCTAGCCTCACGCCCAATTTTCTCTTTATTTGGCTTATTACCGGCTAAGCGAGGTTCAGGACTACGTTGACCGGGAATCGAACACAGATCATGTGAGTGTTTGGTGAGCACTCTACCACTGAACTGCTGACGCACATATTTAAGCTCTTTAAAGCGTCCATCATATTCGTTCATGTGTTTTATACCTTTGATTTCCATTTCCATGATTAGAGATGCATTTATTTGTGGTTATTAAATGTAGTTACCTCAGTAGACAGTGCGTCGGTAGCACAGTGGTAGGGGGTTCGCCTACCACGCATGTGGTCCTGGGTTCGATCCCCGACCGACGCACTCCTTTACCTCGGTAAGCCAGTAATAAAACTGGTAAAGAGGGGAGGCTAGCAACCCCATCCTATAAAGATAAATACTAGTGCTACCGAAACTTCGAAGCTCTAGCTTGAAGCCCTATGTTCCACTGGGAACGTTAAGGAATAAGAAAACACCTCAGTAGACAGGACTGATATTATTTGTCTTTGACAGTTGTAACTGATTTTATGGATAAACAATATTTGTCTGCTCTTGGCTTATGATACACAAAAAGGAATAGATAACTAAATCTCAACATAAGTAGGCATTTATCCCCTGATAATCATATGGTTTAAATCGTATCTTTTTACCCTGGTTCATATTAGCCTTATTTACGTTAATCAAATAATTTTAGATGTAGAAGACTCATTCTAGAATGTCTTATATACACGAAAATCTGATGACTAATTCAAACTTAAAGTTGACATGTCTCGCTCATTCTGTTTGTTCAGTTTTCATAAACGCTGATCAACATTCACCGATTGTTTATTATATTCAAGGATAAATTGCTATTTACATATTATGATTATTATTCCTTTGGGTTCCAATGGGAACATAAGGCTTTGGTAGCAAATCTGCCTTTCACTTGTTTCTGTGTAGTCTTCTCAGCCGACTCCATCATTGCCCATATGGTCTCATCTCTTCACATGATTTCCGCCCTGTCCCCTTCGGATGGCCAACTCACTCGTTTCCTATCCGGCTTCCATTCAGTGGCCTGACTTGTAGTGTCACTCAACAGTCTCCGCAGTGTATCTCATTTATCTCCATTTCTTTCGGCATATTTGTTACCCGATAGGTTCTTGGTCGGTTTACTGACTGGTGGAGAGTTCCTCCATCTGATCTTCAGTAAGCAGTGATAACAGCGGCACTTATATATAAGCTGTGCATCTATCTGAAACTATAGTTAATTTCATATACATTGTTCATTTATCTTAACACAATGTCATTGTGTGCAATGAATTCTTTGATTTCCTTTCCAGAATTACTCTGCTTCCAACAATCACTGTCAAAAAATTGTCGATTCATCCTCTTGTATGCCAGTGTATTCAAACAAGTTGAATAGTCCTATACAAACTCTACCTATTATGACTACTAGCATACTATCTTCCTCTGGTCAGATAGCTACAACAGATCAAACTGTATCTGTGGAACGAGTAAGTAAATTGCCTCCAATAATAAATACTTGGTGTACAAATAAATTTATGTTTTCTGAATCACACTGTCCCAATTGTATTTCACATTATTTAATTCTTCTGCAATTATATATACTTCGTGAAATGTTTTATTGGTAGATTATGTTACATATTGAAATAAGTATAAAACTTGGGCACTGTGGTAGAGTATAACTCCATTATAGGTGAGATTTTATTTTGATAAATCACATAGTGTTGTACAGTAATATTAACTGATGGCGTTTCGAGCACAAATTATTGCTCATAATCATACCAAGTCACTCACATAACTTTTTACTTCGTTTATATACATGTGTGGAATCAATTAGATATTGGAATAAAAGTCAATATGTGATAATGTACATTCAGAAATAATAATATGAATGTTGTTGATTAATTACAATCAGATGGGAAATAAGACGAGTGCTTTTATAGTCATAATAAGTAACTTGTTAGAAATTTGTGATGTGCTGGAATTGAAATAGAATTTTGAGATTATTTATTATTCTCTTCTGAATTGACTGACTGATGGTAATAATATCTTCCATGCATATCTCTGGTATTTGCATTGAGTCATTTCTATTGCATGTGTTGGGTGTAGACTCGGTGAACCAGGCAGAATTCAGTAATCAATCTCTCTCTCCACCTACTTATATTACTTCTTATAATTTTAACCCTCTCCCACCATGCTATTGTGTGGTTGTGTTAATGCATGCAGTGCAATTGCTGAGTTTTTTTTCTAAATTACTTATTTTCTCGGGGTCAACCATTCTTACCTTAGCTAAATTCTTATGTTCTGACAATCTGACCACCCTCAATCTACTAGTTTAACCTATGTAGTTGACCTCACAGTAAAAAGTTGTGTGAGTGACTTGATATGATTATGAGCAATAATTTGTGTTCGAAACGTCATCAGTTAATATTACTGTACAACACTGTGTGATTTATCAAAATAAAATCTTATGTATAATGGGGTATATTACATATTTTATATTGTATTACCAATCTTTGTATGCATGTATTAATTAGATTCATTCATCACTTTGTGTTTTCTTAAGATTAAGGACAATTTCTTGGTAGTGAATATGATAATTAGGTGTCTTAATGTAATACCTTCCTTACTTCAAATTCAGCTCTTGTTGAGTCTTCTAAGATCTCAAATACTGGGTGTGGTGTATAACCTTTGCATAAAAAAATCTGCGCTTAATATCTGACTCCAACTATATTATTGCAGTGTCACATTTACCTAGACAGAGTCCATGTGCAATCACTAATTGCCTTTAAGTCACACTTTTTCTCTACGATGTCAGGTGAAACCTAGCAAGTGTGTTTACTAAACATCGTCTTGATAAGTTGATTACGACGTTCGCCTGTCGTATCTGTAGAGTTGATAGATAAAAAGGGATGAAAATGGACTCTAAAATCTCCAGTATATGATTGTTTGTTTTATTCCTTTACATTCCCAGTGGAACATAGGGCTTCAAGCTACAGGCTGGAAGTTTCTGTATCAGTGGTGCTTATTTTAACTGAATGAGGTTGCTAGCCTCATGCCCAACCTTCCCTCTTTACCAGTCTTACTACTGGCTTAGGGAGTTAAAAGATTGATATGTGGATCTAAGTGAATTAATGAACATTTTGAAAGTGAAATGTCCTATATATATATATATATATATATATATATATGATTTGTCTTCATTATAATGCCTCTTATTTGTGGAGGCTGATAATTGAAGGGTATAGCTTTGTTACATATAGAGTACTGTATCTTTTGAACAAACTTAAGATCTTTTGTTGTATTATTTCACGCGATGTTTTTTCTTTCAAACTCAATTCTAAACTGTTTTACTCATTTTTTTTCTCTCTCAACTATTTAGTATCGTAGCCTTTATACTCGCTGCCTTCGTGCAGAAAGTTATCGTCGGGCTTTATCTTTCCAAAAACGCTATCTACTTCTTCTTTTGGGTAATTTTCAATACTCTGAGGATGTTGTGATTGCAAATCTTGGTTGTCCAGAATCTCGAATCACTCCACAAGTGGATTCTGAGGATGGTTTTCCGTCGAAATTTAATTCAAGTCCACTGCATAAATTCCGTACAGTTGGCCGCGTTGTTCAAGTGATTTATCGGTAAGAACTATGCCCTGTGTATTTGAATTTTTGTTTAGTGGTGAACTGAGCTATTTCATAGTGAATTTATCCTTTTTATCACATTACTGGTAGATTAACGAAACAATTAGGTTACGTTGTCTCTTGAAAACATTTTAAGCTTCCTTTAGTTAAGCAATGCACCTTTCAAAGTACACTTTCAACCTACATAAGATTTATTTTCTGCTCATAAATACTCTCAGGGACTTACAGTGTCTGGTTGACATGTTCCAATTAGCCATAGGTAGGATTGACATGATTGTAGCTTTGGGTGTTGTTTGTTGCGGAGGTTTTTATGATTCACAGGTGTATGTTTGTACTATGCTTCATCTATTCCCAGCTACGTTATATTTTTAGCGTTAAAACCATAACTATAGGTCATCTCCTTGTGTGTATGAAAATGCTGGTGGCTACCGAATCACATTGAATTTATCTCTTCCAGTGGTGTTGCACCACTCTTAATGAACCAGTTAAGTGAATTATAGTCCATTACTGTAAAGGCAAACTCAACAAAGATTGTCACTGATGATACTAGATGGTTGGAGGCAGGAAGCCTTCGACCTAGGTTTCGTGCTAGTTGGCACTCGTCAGCAAGGCACACCTGCAACCTTGAAGGAACTCATGTCCCTTCTGAGATTGGTACCCGCATCACCCAGTGCTGCAGTCAGAGACGTTATCACTGAGCTATTCGGACTCGCAATTGACCTCCTGTAGGACTGTATTGGATACCTTGATTGGACACTAGTAACTAGTGTGATGTGTTTAGTCCTTTCTTTGGTGCAGACTGAATTCTGCCATTCAGGTTTGCAATGTGGCCACCATTCTAGGTAGTTCGCAATCATGGTGCATATTGATTTGATGATATTACATGGTTGGAGGCAATCGGCAGTCACTTTTGACGACAGACAGGCAGTCAGCATGACAGTGTTCTGAATATGTTTGTTTTTCAATGAAGAGCATCAGTTTTATCTTCTCACAGAATCGTTCAGTTAGCTATGCTGAAATGGGAATCGAGCTTGCAAATTATTGACGACTGAAGTATTTAATTACTTAGCATGTTATATTCAGGGATTCATTAATATTCCAACATTATTCATTTTCCTCTTTTTCAGAATGAAACATTTGGTAAATAAATGGCGACGTGTTGGTATACTAAATACTCCTTCTATGCAGTCTACACCATTAAATAACACAGATTCGCATAGGAATAGTGTACGTTCAAACTCCTATCATATCACACCATTTCAGTCTAATTCATTTAATCTTCAAACAGATCATGCAACTCGAACTAATCGACATTTGAATGGATCTTCACGGACACCTTTAAGAGAATTATACACTGAAGAATCCAATAATATATCTGGATCCCCATATAGAAACTCTCCCAATATCAATGGAAATACTTTTTTATCAAATAATTCAGTCTACCCTCCTAGAACATCATTATCATCATCATCATCAGCAGCAGCAGCAGCACATGCTGTTCAAGCTTCTCCTAATCTTCAAAGTCCATTTTTGGATAATCATACTGTCTCTACCCTCGCCTCTCATAGATGGTATGCTTTCTTCAGTAATATTAATAATAAGTTCCTTTTTTATATTATTTGATCAAAATTTAACAAGTTATTGGAAATTTTATTGTTTATTTGATTCGATATATCAAAGTAGAACAATAAGTGCAAAAGTGCATCTATTCAGTTTGTTGGAATAGAGATTATAGACAGAGTAGTTTAGTTATATGTTTGTATGATATTAGTTTTCCTGCCCTATCTCTTCACTGTAGTTATATTCTCATCCTAATGTATTGTGGAAAAGTGTAGACAAATATATTAAGAATCAATAAGTGCAATTCACATAATTACTGAATTTTATTCATGTGCTTACTTAGCACAAACAAGAAGACAGGGAAAAGTAGACCCAGTATAAAACTGATTAATATGTCTGTTGACAGTTGATTAATTTGCAACTAGGTTGTTTTTTTCAAAATCGCTAACCGACGCTACTTTCGAAATCATTGAGAAGCTGTCGTCTTTCATACTTTTACAAAGTTCCAGCATTATGCAGGATTTTTCTTCATGTTGCACAACGCACCATAGATGTATTACTAATTTTCAAGTATTCGTTTTGTAAGGATTTTGTTTGACTAGATGGAGGATTTCATCGTGAGCTTACATCAGTTAGAGGACCACTGGAAAACCTGCATGGAGTACTGGACAATTGTTTCGTCCTAGTTTGGGACTCTTCATCAGTGCGCACGCACTGGGGTTCGAACACAGGGCCTGGTCACAAGGCGAGCTAGCTTGTAGACCATTGAGCGACTGGGACCAGCCTGAAAAATTCCAACTTCTGAGAATTCACGCGATCATTTCGCAATGAGTTACTGCCTCATCTTCAACCTGCTGTACCCTACTGGTCACAGCTTCCCACTAGAATACCAGGTCACTGCCTGAATGAGAGCCAGTCACTAGTGAGCATCAGATTAATTTTCATGTATTGGTTTTTCTAGGGATTTTGTTTGATTGGATAGAGGACTTCATTATGAGCTGACATCAGTTAGAGAACCACTGGAATTGTTAATAAGTACTACGCCAGTTGACTTATTGGTCATATATAATTTCATAGTCAGCCAACGTAAATCATTACTGAGGTTGTTAGTATGTTACTATACCTCGATGGTTTAGTAGTAGATTGTTCGCCAACCACTCACGTGATCCGAGCTCGATTCCCAGTCGACATTCTCTTAAACCTCCCCTAACTTACTAGTTGAAAGTAAGCCTGGGAAAGAGGGAAATCTGGACGTGAGGGTTAACAAACTCATCTCAAAAGTTTGAAGCCTCATGTTCTATTCGGAGAACATTGAATAAAACAATAAAAATCATGTTATTATGACCACTGTCCTGATCATCTGTATTTGAAAGCCTACTATTTCAACTGTAAGTAATTATTTTCTTTTTCTTGTAGGCGTCCTCATTCATCATTCACTCAATCCGCATTAGCAGCAGCAGCAACAACAACAACATTAACGACTACAACGACAAATCCTAAAGCAATTCCAATCTCTAGACAAGTGCCTATTACATCTATCCCAGTTTGTACAACAGGTGTTTACGATCATCGTTCCGCAGTAAGAAATCATCAATCTTCTTCATCTTCCTCGAATTTATCAATTGAAAATCGACGTCGTATTTCTACAACAACTTCATCGACATTTTGCAGAGTTGATTCAACTCAAACGCACACAGTTCGAACTATTAGTCATAGTCATAATCATCATAATAAAAATCAAATGAATCCAATTCATAAACGTTCTAGTTATAGTTGAATGTATGCATAGATTTTTTTTTAAAAACTTATTTCTTTATTTATTTGTTTCATATTGTTAGAAAACAGTACAGTTAATTAAATATATAATTACTAATGTTGTTAACATCGAAAAATATTGTACAATACTACTACTACTACTATTAATAGTACTACTCATTTTGCTCATTTATCTTTTCGTAATCCTTTTTGAAATTCTTTCGATTTCTGCTCCTTTCTTTATTTCGTATCCACACATTCATTCATCCGTTGATATACACATATTTAGCCTTATTAACTGTTGAAATTTATACTTTATAGCTCATTACATTATTACCTGTATATGGTATTCTGCTAACGATTATCATTCTTAAGTGAATGAATTAATGCATTTAATATATTCTTGTTACGATAACCAACGAAATACCAGTGTGTTGGGCGTGTGTGTACATGTGTGTGTGTGTCAATGTCTATGTATGTACCCAGTCTCTAATGTCATCTTTGTTACTGTTGTATTATGCTGTGTGTGTGTGCATGTGCGTGCGTACTTGTGGATCAACTACATCATAGATACATCAATTCAATGCCTATCTCTTCATCTTTCCTGTTTTTTGTTTTTGTTTTATATTCGATTAGTACACATAAATGATAATTTTTATGCTGTGTTTTCTAAAATTTTATTTTAAATGTGTACAGTTATTCAATGTTGACAGATGTATAATGAAATTTTGTTTTCTTTGTTATAAAGAGTGTATGTTAATAATAATATACATATCTTATTGAATACTTGTTTTAATCTCATTATTTCATCACAGATATGATCAGGTGTTGCGGAGATTGGATGAATAATATCTCTATGTTGATTAGATCTGAAAGTTGAAAAGATATATATATCTCTCTCTCTTGTAAGGTTTGATATTTCAAGGAAAATAAATCTATTTCCATCCTCATGTTGTAAGGCATACATATTTCCTCTAGTAGGAAGTTTGATGTGGTTGCTTTCTCTGACCCGGGTGACTTAATTTCAACGTTTTGATTGTCCTTCTGCTGTTAGTTTCTGATTGGCGTGGATGCATACAGGACTGTAGCTTCTTCTAGAGCACATTCCGGGACTCTGAACACGCTTTAACGTGTACCAGGTTCATCTTGCGATTCGGTGATGCTCATGAACAGCTTACTGCACAGGTTGATGTAAGTAAACTGGTAGCACCTGCTACCTCTGTGAAGTACCAGACTGAGTTAAAATCAAGGCTAGATAGAAATCGTCTAAATAGTATAGGTGAACATTGGCTGCACCTCCAAGACGCTATGCAAGTGGTGAATGAAGCTGCTTGTACCTTAAAAGAATGCTCTGCTGAAATCCACTGGGTTTCTTCGAGTTCTTTTCAACTTCTTGACGAGTGCCGTTCCATTTCGTGAGACAGCGAGTATAAGAACATTCGCAGGACTTTTAGGCGCGAGATCAAACAGTTTTTACGTAGGGTGCGAAACCGTGGTGACTAGCATGTTTGTCTGAGATGGAATCTGCAACTACATCTGACAATAGCCGGAAGCTGTTCCAGTTCATCCGAGTCTCTGGCAGCAAGAAGCATGGTGTTAGCGACATGGTATGTGAGGCAGATGGTACAGCAGTTACCAACCTGAAAAGGTGCCAGGGATGCTGGGAAGAGTACTTCGAGAAGCAGTTTATCTGGCCAACAGCGCCGGTAATCAACACCATCAACTACAGTGCTCTATGATCGGTTAATACCGAACCAACAAACGAAGTAGAGGTTCAAAAGGAATTCCAAGTGTTGAGGCATCCTGTCTAGACAATCTACCTCAGCATCTTTTTAAAGATGGTGGTGATTTTCTGGATTGTTCAGCAAAATGAGAATGTTACATCAATCTAGGCTGAAGCCACCATCGTCCCCATCTTTAAAAAGGGCCGACGTAATGCATACGATATTCATAGGAACATTGATTTGCTACCAGTCGCGTCTAAAACATCGGCTGCCGTCTTGCTCCGCAAGCTGTACGAAACACTTGAGGAACTAATTCGCGAAGAGCGGGCTGGGTTCTATTCAAGCCGTGGATGCATTGATCATATGTTCACGCTTCATCAGTTACTGGAACACCGTTACGCGACTGTAGGCCAACAGTCGTCGTGTTTCTTGATATTAGGACTGCCTTAAATTTTTATTGACAGAGCTCTCTGGAACTGTCTCACATAGAAGAGTACCTGAGAAGTTCGTTAACATTCAGAAAGTCCTATTTAGAAATAACTCAGGTAGAGTGAGGGCATACAATCGGCTAACATCACTGTTCCCAACCAACAGTGGAGTCAGACAGGGTTGCACAGTCTCTCCATTTCTCTTCAACTTAGCCATTAGTTATATTCTGGAGTCAGGCCTGAAGGACGTGCGTGGCGGAGGTGTAAATCTGCTTCCTGGAGAAGGACCTTTTGGCCTCGATTTTGCAGAAGACATCCTCTTACTGTGCCATAGCGTGCAGGCTGCTCAAATCGCACTTAATCATTTGGCGATCAGTGTCTGTAAGTATGGTATGTGCTTTGTGTTGTGTAAGTGCAAAGTAGTGCTGTAAGATTGGCAGGAACTTGTACCTGCACTCACTCTTGTAGATGAACCGCTTGGAGTTGTCGAAAAATTCGTATATCTGGGTAGTTGTGTGAGTGCTGGTGGAGGTCTGATGGACGAGATCTCTGACGGTATAGTGGAAACTATGAGGGGATACAACAATTCGGACAACCTCTGGCACCATCGCAAAGTCAGCCTGGCTGCTTGCGTCCTATGTCATCATCATGTGAGTAATTCTGAGGTGCGACAGCGAGTATTTGGGCACGGTAGAGATTACCATTCATGAAGTGTCTTTATCTGGAAACAGGTTTCTCTGGCATGGACATGTGCTACGAATATAATCCCAGAGTCTTCTGTACAGGTCTCTGTTCGCTAGTCCTGGGACAGGATGGAAGTTGGGCAGCCTATGACGTGGTGTCGTTAGATGAAGGATATTTGTGTTAGGTTAGCATCAGCTGGTACATCACGCTTCCCTTGTTAGGGTCCGAAGGATAGCTCGAATCGGTGGCTGGAAACCCTATGGCCAAGAATCGCAATCACTGGCTAATATGCTGCAACTTCCTTCTTTCTTCCCTTTCCAAAAGTACTATGAAGTCATGAATGTTGAATGATCTTGACAAATATGCTTTTTTGCTTTCTGGATAATGTTCATCATTTATTCTCTGCTTATTTCGTTTATATATTGTTGTTTTATTATGGTTATGTGGTTCATCTCTTGGTGCCCATAGTGTACCAAATGTGCGTTTTTTAATAGAATAAGTAAATTTCATTGTCCTTGAAGAAAACATCTTCAGCGCGAAATACAAAATGAAACGAACAACTTATTTGGATTCTCCATGAACGATATGTCTGCATCTCCTAACAACCTTTGTCTTGATTGGTTGTTAAGAGTTCTGTTTTTCTTTCTCTAAATCATGGGCATTATCTTTGAACTTAGTGAGTTGTAGCCGTAGCTTTCATTATGCATAAAGGTTTGCATTAGTGTCTGTGTTTTTTCTTTTACTATTCAGTACTACTATCGATTATGCATGCCTTTGTGTATTTTTCCTTCTCATTTCTGTTTTCATTACGTCACATCTCTACTCATATTGGAATTTGGCAAGCTAATGTGTACTTTGTGTCTGTAAAGCATTTTTCATAGTCAACAAATACATCAAAGTAACAGTGAGAAGTTTATTGTATCAGATGACTATTTGTATTATATAAATGGTAGATAACAAATATGACTAGCAAAAATATAGCGTAGGTAATAAATTTTTCTATCAAACAGTTACGATAAAATTTTCAAGTTTTGGTTTTTCGTAGGGATGTTTTTTGTTTGATCGGTTGGATGATTTCATCATGAGCTGACATCAGTTAGAGGCCCATTGGAAAACCTGCATGGATTACTGGACAGTTGTCTCGTCCTAGCTGCTTGGGACTCTTCAGCAGTACGCACCCACCGGGGTGCGACTGGCCGTATTCAGGCAGTTAACCTGGGGTTCTAGTGGAAGCCATGACCAGTAGGGTACAGCAGGTTAAAGGTTTGTTAGTAACTCATCGAAGAAGGCATTGCGAAGTGGTCGCGCTATATCATGAATTAGCAGAAGTTAGAATTCATGGGCTGGCTATTGGATGGGATCTCAGTGTTTAATGGTCTACGAGATCGCTAGTCTTGTAACCAGAAGGTATTGAATTCGAGACCTGGTGGTGAGTGCATACTGATGAAGAGTCCCAGGCAGCTAGGACGAAACAGCTGTCAAGTGTTCCCAGCTTTTCCAGTGGCTCTCTAACTGATATCAGCTCATGATGAAATCCTCCAACCAATTACGTTAAAGGTAGATTTAAATTTGCCACTGATCCATCTCCCTAAAATTTTTTTTTCATTTTCTAAAACAAACAGGTATTTACTTTCAATCAGATCCTTGTCTATAAATGTACTCGAATATGTACGTAGCAATTTTAATGTAATACAGAAATTTACCAATCCAATGGTGATACTTCCACTGTGGGTAAAATTTATTTTGATAAACTCTCACAGTGTTATACAGTAATATATACTGATGACGTTTCGAGCACAATTTATTGCTCGTAATCATATCAACAATGGAATCATACTCTACCACAGTGCACAAGTTCTATTCCTATACTAATGGTGATAAGTTTCTTAACAATAATCAGTCAATAAAAGTATAAATAGAGGGTGATAATATTAATCAAGAAAATCAATTGATATTAATTGATTATTGTTGACAAACTTATCATCAGTAGATTGGTGCATTTCTGTATTGTATTAGGAGCACTTTGCGTATATTAGAGCCATAAACGACGATTTGATTGAGAAGTAAGTTTTTTTCCCTCAGTCATTTTTGCCTTCTAAATATCTGAACGGAGATTTTTGTAATATACTTAAACAGTGAGATATTTAACTCATAGTATAGACAGCGTTTATTTACAAATAGCAAAA